GTGTGGGTGTTTATTTTTGTCAAAATTAGGTTGATGGTTGGACAAGATGATCTTTAAGGTCCCTTCCAACCTAGAAGATTCTGTGATAAACAGTGCCATCGCCATGCACATCTCGGCAAGGAGGAGCTGAGGAACCTGGCTGAAGTGCACAAGCAAAAACCCAAAAAACAGTTAAATGAGCCATACCATCACCCAATCACAGTTATAACAACTTATAATCAATGGTTAAAGGGCAGCAGCTCGTCTACATAAACTGTGGTCAAGAAAACGATCTTCTTTTTAGCATTTTTGACCCTTCCGGTCAAGTGTAAGAGCATCCACGTAAGAATTTAGTGTGGGGTTGCAAATCTGGGATGCAGTGCTAATGTGGAGCATTGCCTTCAGGATTTAATCCATTAAAAAAAGTAAGCAAATTAAAAGCAACAGGCACACTGTCATAGAATCTCAGCTCTGCCCGCAGCTGCCCACAAACACAACTGGTGTCTTAGGGTAAATACTCAGGACTTGGGCTGTTAAACTGGAACTAAACTAAAAGCACTGCACACACTAAGAGGTTTTTACCATTACTTTGCTTTTTTTTTTTTAACTTTACCTGCCCAAACACATGCCCTTGTGCGGGAGGGGCTGGGGAAGAGGCTCCAGCCCCTTGCAAAAAAATAACACTACAAAAATAGCTCCTGATAACTGATGACGAAGTAACATCATTTCAGGAGTATTTTGAATGCTTCGGGCTAATTATTAGTTCTCTGAGTCATTTGTTTTTGAAGGCTCCTGCAGAGAAAAAGAGTTTGCTGTAATGTAGCAGGTGCCTAAAATAGTCTGGTTTATGGGCTTTCGCGCGCTCTGTTCCCAGTTTGCCCATGGATGAGCCCAGTCCCTGGAGCCCAGGGGCTGGAGGGAGTTGTGGAAAGCCCCTTGGCACGGGGGAATTTGGGCACAGACCTCCCTCCCTCCCCTCCTGCAGCCCCCCAGGTGCTGGTGAGGTGTCTGGGCCCTGCTCCCCCACGCTTGGAGCTATACGTGACCAGGGCTCGGCGCGAGCGGCTCGTCCTGGAGCACTTTCAAGGCTATTTTAAGCCAAAGCCGCCAGCGCGGTGCTGTTTGGAGGGCAAATTACTCTTGCTAATCAATGCGAAATCAAGTAGGTTATTTTAGTTCTAATTCGAGCTGCTCCCCGTGCGCGTCCCTGGCCTGCACCCCCGCCCTCCCTCCCTGCAGGTATATTTAGGGATGCAGGTATATTTTGGGCTGGCTGATTTGCTGCACTTTGAAGGACAAAATGATGCAAAGTTGCCTTCCAGCGTGTGCCCGTAACGACCCGGGGTCGTTACACCAGGCAGGGCTCTTGCACCACCCTGGCCCATCGGTCACAGGGGACCACAACCTCCCAGGCTGTGCCTGCCTTTGAGAGGTAAGAGATGGCAGGGGAAAGAATGTATTTATTTTTCTATTTTCTGAGCCTTTTTTCCTTAAAGAAAACATTTGTTTTAGTAATTTCCTAGATACAGAGCAGCACGGGGAAGGGCGCTGCCGCAGGAAAGCTGTTAATTAGGGCCTGGCCCAGACAGTTTCATCCACATTCTCGGGTTTTCTTATATCCAAAAGTCCCATCACCAAACTCCAAATATGTTTGGACCCAGCTCATTCCCTGTCTCCGCATTCCCCAATTTCCAAGGTGCTGTTGAAGCCCATCCAGCCCTGGGATGGACCCTTAGGGAGCAGGGGGTGCTGTTTGTGTGTGTTTTGGGGTGGGGAATTTCCAAGGTGCTGTTGAAGCCCATCCAGCCCTGGGATGGACCCACAGGGAGCAGGGGGTGCTGTTTGTGTGTGCTGGGGGGGTGGTGATGCCCTTCACGGGACCCTGAGCTGCTCCCAGCACACAAACCAGAGCAGCGCAGCCCCCAAGGAGAGCAGACAAGGCCAAGGGATCAAAGTGGGAAAATAAACTTGATCTTTTTCCAGAGGGTTTTCCTCCTGGTGATCTTTATGGACCAGAGCCCACTTTGCACGCTGGCCCCTCCACAAAACTGTTGAGCAAACACAAATACACAGCCCCCAGCTCCATCTCAGGCCATGTCTAACTTTGCCCATAGTACAAGATGCTACAAAGAACGAAACAACTGCTGCCACAGCCTCGGTGATGGCTCTGGACACACAAACACAAATACACAGCCCCCAGGCCCATCGCCAGCTCCCTCTCAGGCCACATCTAACTTTGCCCATAGTACAAGACGCTATGAAGAATGAAACAACTCCTGCCACGGCCTCGGTGATGGCTCTGGCCATGCTCTAGTCCCATCTCTTGGATCAAACCATTTCAGCAATACCCACTCGTACTGGGTGGCAGGGTTTTGGTAGCGGGGGTGACTTCTGCAAGAAGACACCAGGAGCTGCCCCGATGTCAGGCAGAGACAGTTCCATCCAGCTCCAAGACAGACCCACCAGTGGCTAAGGCTGAGCCCACCAGCAATGGTGATAACATCTCTGTGATAACATACAGAAGAAGGGGGGAAAAACTGCTGCACAACAGCATCTGGGAGAGAGGAGTGAGAACATGTCAGAAACCACCACGCAGACACCACAGAAGAACCAGAGGAGGTAGGAAACTCAGGAGGAAGGTTGAGCCAGGGAAGAAGAGAGGGGGTGGGAGAAAAGGCGTTTTTAGATTTGTTCTTATTCCTCATTATCCTGCTGTTTCACCAACAATAAATTAATTTCCCCAAGTCTTTTGCCCACAAAGGTAAATGGGAAGTGACCTCCCTGTCCTTATCTTGACCCTCAAGCTTCCTGTCATATTTTTTCCCCCTGTCCTGTTGATGTAGGGGCAGTGGTGGGCACCAGGCCAAAGGTGTCCCCCCCACACACCCCCCTTTAACCAAAAGAAGGGTCAGTGCTGGTGTTTGCCAGACCTTAGGCTCTCTGCCTTGTTCCCACCAAACAGCGAGGTAGAGAATGCCCACAGCCAAACACTCCCACTGCATTAAGCCATAAAACGGCTTCTACTTAGGGCTAAAGACCTTGCTGGCATCTAATTAACACGCAGATTTTGCAATTTATTGCACAGCAAGACTGCAACACAACCAGGTACGACACGGCATTAATTCTCATCCAAAAGGCCCAGCCCCGAGTGGCATCAGGACAAAATTGCAAACAAGAGCAGCTCAAAGCCTGCAGTGCTCCCCAGCCCCCCCAGACAGCCCCCCTCAAACAGCAACACCCCCCAGGGAATTGTTTGTAACACTTCTCTTACCATAGGGGTTTTTTTTTTCTATTTGTTTTCAATGCTTTAACAAGTGTCCTCATGTTAAAAGGGCAGAGCTACTCCCATGAGGCCAACAAGCCACATTTGGCCTGCTCAAGTTGCCCAAGTCACATATAGAATAAAGTCTAAATTAAAGCTAATGCTTCTGGAAACACAGCAGTGAAGGTCTGTCACAATTTAACAGTAGCCTTCTGCTTGTTCTGCCTCACCCCACCACTGCAACACCAGTTACACAGCAACGTTAACAACTCATAGACATATCTCTATTTCTGTGTTTCTACGTCTGTATTTCTGTCTATTACTTTGTTTAACCTTTCTTACATTTTATGCAAAGATCTTAAAGACTTAATTCATCACGGCAAAGTTTACCCTCCGAGTTCTGGCAACTGCACAACAGATTTCATGTAGAATTTCAGGTAACGGAGCCAAAACATGCACTCGTGTTGTCCCCTGGGCCTGTGGATATGGTACCTGCCTGCAACGGGCTCAGTCCTGCAGGGCAGAGGTGTCTCAGCCAACAGAAGAGGTTTTCTGTCACATCACTTTTACCCAAATTGCTCGAGTTTAAATGCAGAGTGCAAGACAGAGCAGTCCGTGTGTGAAGTCAAGCTCAAGAATATTCCCGTTACTACCGATAAAGACTTTATAATCACTTTATTAAAAATATATCAGCTTGGATTTTGCCAAAATAATTTACACAGTAGAAGTATCCCACACAGAGAGAAATTATACAGCTCTGCCTGATGTCTGGAGTATTTCAAAACAGACAGCTTCCCCACACTTCAGTGTGGGATTCGCTAAGTGCCTGCTACAGGCACCTTCAGCTGCTGCGTCCCATCTCCATCAGCTCCCCACGTCCTAAACTCACTCACCACAACCTCTCTGCTACGAAGGTACCAAGAAACAAGGCTCTGCTTCCCCCACCAGGCACTGCCAAAAAGCCTGGCCCATCTTAAAGGGTTCTTCCAAACTGGGAGCCACCATGCCCCTGAAGACAGAAAGAGCACAGGGACTCCCCAGAAAAAATCAAAGGCAGCAGTTTGTGATCAGCACGTGAAGACAGAAGTGCTTGATGAGCAAGTACTTGACCCGCAAGTAGCAAAGAGGGAGCTTTGTTTCCAGCCTGCCTCCATAAATACAGGAGATTGGCTACTGCCACCATCAATCTGTCCTTCCACAGCAAGGGCAGCGAGACAGCCTGTGATTTATCCTTCCACGCTGTCTTATTTAACAGTGCTTTCCCCCCGAAAACAATTTCTCACTCTTCCAGTGTAACAGACGTGTTCCTTGGGCGTTCAGTCTTGGGAGGAGGGGCTGCCACGGGCTGGGATAAGCACAGCTCTGCCCCCGGGCCACCGGCTGCGCATCCCGCTTCCACCTGAACAGGGCCTCGGTGGTGGGCACCAAGGACAGCTGTGCTGGACTCCTACAGCCAGCAGGACTTTGTTTTTTTTTTAAAAAATAGTTATATATATATTAAAAAAAACCAAAAAAAAACCACCAACACTTTCCCTTGAGAAATAGTTTGGCTCAGCCCAACGCTGACACCACAGAACTGGTGACAGGGACAGTGTCCATAAACGAGTGTCCTGTGCTATAGATTTCACCTCGTGGTCTTCCCTGAGGGAGATGCTCTTCATCCTTAGGCACAAGAGGGACTTACAGCTGAGGCTGGGCCTCAGACTCTTTGGGAGCTCATCACGAACTGGCCAAATCACTCCCTTGCATTTCCACTCTCTTCTTTCTTCCACATAAAAAAATAGTTATATATATATTAAAAAAAACCAAAAAAAAACCACCAACACTTTCCCTTGAGAAATAGTTTGGCTCAGCCCAACGCTGACACCACAGAACTGGTGACAGGGACAGTGTCCATAAACGAGTGTCCTGTGCTATAGATTTCACCTCGTGGTCTTCCCTGAGGGAGATGCTCTTCATCCTTAGGCACAAGAGGGACTTACAGCTGAGGCTGGGCCTCAGACTCTTTGGGAGCTCATCACGAACTGGCCAAATCACTCCCTTGCATTTCCACTCTCTTCAGGGAATGTGCTTCCTTCCTGCAGCCAGACCGGAGCGTTTCAACAACGCAGAGGTGACACCAGACCCAGGCTCTGCTATGGTTGTCTCTGCTCAGTCATTTGCCTTGATGGAATGAATCTTCCTTTCCCAGAAGCTCGTCACCAAGTCCCCCACATCTTCTCCGCACAGTGCCGAGGCCCAGCAGCACTACTAGGTAAAAGACTTAACCAGGCTCACCATATGATCCACTCCACATGCAACATCCACCACCTCACCGGGGACAGTCACCTGGATCAGACACACAGGAGGGGATTAGTTCTCAAAGCTTGCTCTTTGCACCTCCTATTTCCTATTTCTCACCTTCCTTCTGCTAAACACACCAGCTGGCTTCACAGGGACTTGCACCAATGAAAGTGCCATCTTGAAAACCCAGACAAAGCAAGATTCAGCACCAGCCACGCTTGTGCATTGAGCTGTGAAATATTCCCCATCTCCCTTCACGGAGGCACGTAAAGCTTTGGAAGGACAGCAAGAGAGGGCTCACCAGCACACTGCGAGGGGACTGTAGCCTCAGCCCATCTGTTCAGCAGCAGAAACAGCACAACCAAACAGAGAGCAATCCAGAGAGAAGGCAGAGGATCTGCCCGAGCACCACAAGGATTTGACTCTGCTCTCATCAGCAAGGATGGGAACAAGGCAAAAGCTCAGCTGGGCCTACGGCAGCTCACTCACTGCTAAAGTTAGAGCTTTTTCACCTAAAGCTGACTGCAACCTCAAGGAAAGCAGAAGCCTCTTGAGGGAGGCTTCCTTGCCCCCCTCAAAAACCCATGCAAGTTTTTCCTTAAAGCTAAGGGAGAGGACAGATGACCAGTCCTAGGGCAGGAGGTGACAGACAAGTATCCTGGTAACTGCCCTTGCTTTGGTACTTTGCCAAAGTAGCGAGACAATAAGGTCATTGGGGAGAACTTAGAGCCCCTTCCAGTACCTAAAGGGGACTCCAGGAAAGCTGGGGAGGGACTCTTTATGAGGGAGTGGAGCAACAGGATGAGGGGGAATGGATTTAAACTGAAAGAGGGGAGATTGAGATTAGATATTAGGAAGAACTTCTTTGCTGTGAGGGTGGTGAGAGCCTGGCCCAGGTTGCCCAGAGAAGCTGTGGCTGCCCCATCCCTGGAGGGGTTCAAGGGCAGGTTGGAGGGGGCTTGGAGCAACCTGGGCTGGTGGGAGGTGTCTGCCCATGGCAGAGCAGGGTGGAATGAGATGATCTTTAAGGTTCCTTCCAACCCAAACCACTCTATGATTCTAGTGTCAGACAAGAGTTGGCTGTCTGAAGGAGCATAAACCTCAATGTCTACACTTGGGGAAACTTGGATGTGCCACACTTGGTGAATTCAGAAACTCCACTCAGCCAAAGCAGTGTGATTTTAGGCAACGCTCCAGAGTTGGTCTTTTTTTGTTCATTTTTAAAAGAAGAAAGCATGCTAAAGAAACATCCATTGCAAGTTCAGACACATGGAAAGGGACTCCAGGGTGGTCCAACTGATTGCCTCCCTCCTCTCCTACTTGGCCTTCGTGGAGAGGGGGAACATCTGTTAGGCTGAGTGCTCAACTCCAGAGCCAAAGACTCTTTCTACACCCACAGCGTCTGGCTCTTGGAGCCATCTGAGAGAAGGGAGTGGAAGTGTTGCAAAACAGCTATGAAAACAGTTCAGTGGCTGAGGACCTCCTGCAGTAACTACAGAGTCAGTCCAGTGACCCACCACCATAGCTGCTTGACTTGGAAGAGGAGCAGGGAAGGAAGCCCACTGCCGTGTGGACCTGCTGCCACTACAGTCTGACCACCACGACCAAAACATTCACCTAATTTAGATGTGTAATGCAAGTCTTTTGGGTCACAGATGACCAATATTGGTGGTTTACTTTGCAGGGGAGGGAAGAGGCAGTAAGGGGTAGCAGGTAGAAGACTGTGGACAGGAGGGAGATAGAACTGTTCTGATGTGATGGCACAGCACCAGATGTTGCTTTGGGACGTAAAATCAATACTGAAATAGCAGACAAAAAAACCAACTTTACTGAATACCCCTATGCCTAAGTGGGCTATGCAAAGAAAACGAAGCAGTTCTACAGTTATCTCAGGCTTCCAGTTCTTTCAAAATTACTCAACAAAACTACACAGCAAATGATATTCCTTATCCTCAGGAAAACAAAGACTAGCTAAAGAATACACTCTCAGCCTTAATATTACCATCCTTACCCTCCATGGGAAATACTGGTCTTCCATCCTTCCCGTTCCCAGGCACCCTCTTAGATTCTTGCCCCATACAAACAGTTCTCCTCTGTCTATACAGGGCAAAAAAAGAGAATAAAAATAGGGTAGAGTCATTAAAAGGGAAGAATTCTATTTGTGATGTTGCAAGTGCGGCTACAGTGCTTCTGGGTGTATAAAGGGTTATACACTGCAGAATGAAAGCCATCGAGTTCAGTTCCAAATACAATAAATGTACTTGTGCTTGGGGAAAATGATGCCTAATGAGCAGGACAAGCAGCAAGTTTTGGGCACAAGTCTCTGCTTCCCCCTCTTACAGCTGTTGCTTTGGAATTTTATTTGAAGAAAGAGCACAGCAGAAGAGATTCCAGGGAATCGTTTGTAGTGAAGTGAATAATTTGTGCTGGAAGGTAGACAATTAGAGGTGACTGAAGAGATTCCAGGGAATCGTTTGTAGTGAAATGAATAATTTGTGCTGGAAGTTAGACAATTAGAAGGTGACCCGCATCAGCTATCAGCAGAGCAAAACAGGTAAGCAAGGCAGTGAAATCTGTCCCACACCACCACCTGGGGACTGGTTATTCAGCTGCCTGACATAAGTGACCTCCTAATGACAACTAGGGAAAAGAAAAAAGACAGTGTTCAACAGAGATGGAGACTTTTAAGCTCCTCAGCAAAATATGTAGATCTCAGAAGCGTTCAGATTAACCCCACAGCAGAGACAACCAAAACATAATCTATGACATCAGTACAATTTAAATTGGAATGCAGTTTCTAAAGCTTCCTGAATACCAGTGGGAGACCAGTTACAAGCACCCTGTAAGCAGACTGGTAGTGTCACACACACCAACCACTTCTCCAAGAAGGACCGAGCACCTGGCACTTTTCATTAGCAAACTATTACTTTCACTACCAATTACATGGTTTTTCTGTGTTGCTGCCCTCTGCTGCACATTTTTAAAAGGCTTTCAATTCAAAGCTTCCTTTAAAGGCTGGTATCAACTACAGGGTGTACATACCAGAATATTAATATAACATGCACCCTTTGCGTGTTAAATGTGTGGATCTTCCCACCTCAGATTGCTCGCTCCGTTGGCCAGAAGAGCCAAGAAACTCTGCCATCCAGCTCCAGTTTAGATTCACCTTTACTTTGTTCGCTTTTCACATAAATTCCTGCTTATTCTAAAGTACAACTGACTGACTTATTCTGTATGAGGACATGAAAAAACCTTCCCAGGCTTCCTATTTGAGAGAATTTTTTTTGTTTGCTTCAGCAGAATAACATTTTGTCAATTAAAGCCTAAGTTAGCACAGTACCTATGTTAGAAACCATGCCAACACCTGTAAATGTGCTGCCAGCCCCTTCTGTTGCATTCCAGTGTGCTTTAAGTTTAGGAAGAGATGGGTGCTTTTTTCTGTTTTTCTTTTAACTGCCAAATATACTGCAATGTGACTTCTCCATGACAGTAGGACTGGAAACTTACTTGTCAGTGCCGCAAACTGGCTGAGGCCACAGCGAACGTGAGCAACACGGACATCCGGATTGAAGTCTGACCAGCCAAAAAGGCTGGGTGGGATCATCTCTGGCACTGCTGTCTCTGTTAGGTTTGGTCCTTTCCCAAGAATTCCATATCCCCAGACAAAAACATTTCCTTCTTCTGCATTACAATAAGAACACATTCTGTAAGAAAGTCTGTGCTTGTGAAATTCATGCCATGACCAAGAGTTAATCAGATCCAAAGGGGTATTTTCCTTTCTCCCCAAGCAGTCTAGCACCTTTTGATTATTTAAAATTTGCAAACAATGCATTCCCATCCAAAGGCCCTTTTTTTTTTCCCCCCTCTTAAGCTGTGCAAGCAGATCAAGCTTCACAGGGAAATAATGCCAACACAGCGTGGGCTGGATAAAATACTTCAGCGTACTGACTGATGGGACAGGGGGTGAGTGTTTTATCATCACTGCTTTTTCCTTTGAGGCACAGCCAAACCAGCAGTGGGCCAGTGGCTCTGCCTGGCGTCCTGCCTTCAACTGGGTGCCTGGGAAAGGCAGCAGTTGGACAACACAAGACAGAGGAAGTTGCTGTGTCTGATAGCTCTGCTTCCTTCACACTAAAAGCACAAACATCTTGTCACCACAGCTGCATCATAGATATATATATATATGAACATCTTCCTTGAGATGATCCTTCACAAACGTAGTACAATCCTCTCCCTCATTCTTTTACTCAGTGACTTCCAAGCTGTGCTCCCCTGCCACTGGCAATCCAAAAAAGCATTCACTACGAAGCCTGCTGCAGAGTTTGTTTTTCAGAACTCTCTGCTTTCCAGCCTAGTTTATCAAGATTTATTTACATGTCAGGTTTATATTGAGTCTGAAGGGCTCTTCTTTCTCTCAAGTGTTGCCTTACTTCCTCCCTATATCCATCTTCATTATAGGCCACACAAAGCCCGTGTGAGCAGAACCACAAGCAGCAACGATGCTCTTGTTCTCGTCTTCACAACAGCACACACTAGAAGCGATGCTCTGCGAGTGGTGAAAATAACCCCCCCAATACATTCTGAAATCACAGGGTTCTCAGTTTCCCGGCTTTCTTCGTAACAGACAGAACTTTCTTGCTTCCATTAAACAAGATGCTCGCTCCACGATGTTAAATCCACCTCCTGCATGGCACTGCACTAAGAGGAGAACCGTAAAAGCGAACTCACCCGTCAGCACAACATTGCCAGTCCCTCCACATGCAGCCTCCTTTATCTTTCCAATCTTGAACGGCAAATGTCTGGGAACATTCACCTGTGTGAGGGTGCATGAGAGTTGTTAGAGACAAGGTAAACTGCAGACTAGATGCCTGTTCTCTAGTTCTGGTTAGAGCTTACACACGCTGAATTACTGATCCAGGATACGGCCAACCGTTATTGCCTGAATAACAGAATGAATGCAAGTCCCACGTTTAAAAAAAACTAAAGGAAATTCAATAAGTGTGGACAAAGTGGAAAAAGTTACCCACTGGAAAGCCTGGCAACAAAGTCAGGAATGCTTAATGCCTGCTTATATCCCTGGCTCTCTGTGTCAGATACAACAGAAAGTCAATAGGTGAGCCTATTTGCAAGTTTTCACAATGGACAAGATCACTAAAAATCTGGTCTGCAGTGGCATTTTTTAACATAGTGGAAAAAAAAAACACCACTCTTATTTGGTGCTGTTCAACACAACAGAAACCTACACGGCTTGACACGTGTAAACAGTGACCTTGGACTTCACAGATAATATCCAACTCTGCTATTCCACAATCTCACCTTTGTCTATATTGTACCTAGAACTCCTGCTTTGTGCCATTCATCCAGTTCAGACCCCTCTGACCTCCAGCCAGCCAGGAGACTACTGTACTACTTCACCTGCTCACTGTTTTTAGGCCTAACAGGTCTCAGTAATTAGCCCTACATTAAAGATACATCAGGAGGGAAACAAAGGTATGTATTTTACTAAAGCCATACTAATGGAATTGTCTGCTCTTAGCCTTCTGCCAAGAATAGCTTGAGTTTTAATTAATTCCCTGACTCCATTTCCTACACTAACTGTAAGAGAAGACCAGCTGCCTAATTACCTCAGTACTACAATGCTTAGTGTCCAGTCAGCATTATATTTTTGCCCCACATAAGTTTGCTCCAAAAAACTTTGATCTGTGAGACACTGGGATTTGTTTAAGACTCAGCTATAAACCTACTAAGGTTGTTCGTGAAAAATTCATCAACATGTGGGTTGATTGGAAGGGACTTCCAAAGGTCATCTGGACCAGCTCCATGCCCAAAGCAGGACCACCTGAAATTCTAGATTAGCCAGCCAAAATGTTAATTCCCATCCTGAAACCAGCACAAGAACTCCAGCTGGATCTCGATTTGGTGCAGAGTCCATGGGATGGGGAAAGGAGAACACGGGGTGTACTCTTCCTTTATAACACACTAACAAACATGCCAAATGAGGTGACACAAGCCTTTGCCTATCAATAGCTGGGAAACACACTGCCCTACAGCTATACAACCATTTCTGACAGATTGGGTTTGTAAGCATAGGTAAAACCAGCTTGCTAGTGGCGTTAGTTTATATTGATTTATACTGCTGTCAAAAGAACCCAGAGCAGGGAGAAGTGTGTAATTTTAAACTCTATGCACAGCAGCAGAACCCAAACATGTAAAAGCATGCCCCTGGGCCAACTGACCTGTGTTGTTTCTGTGACAGATGCCAACTGCAAGTATTCTGAATTTCCCCAGCCAAAGACGTCTCCCTCATCTGAAACAGCCAGGCAACAGTCCCCATAGGAGGAGACCTGGATAATGTTCACTCCAGCAATGTCACCACGGAGCTTAGTAGGCACGCTGGTGATATCATAGTGTCCAAGACCTGAAAAGAGAGATATGATGAATTTTTCTCCCTCCACAATAAATCCTTCTGTCCATATCTCTTAACTACCTGCTTCAATGGACAGGCAGCCACAAACACCAGTTCTACCAGCCCAGGCTACCTCTCTAGAGAGCAAAACAATTTTATACAATCACACCTGGAAAACAGTCTAGGCCCTCAGCTCTCTTGTCTGCATGGATCAAAGGGTTTGAGAAAGCAGTAATCAACTGAGAAAGCAGATAGCCCAACTGAGGTGAAGTGTCACAAACCAGCAGTGTCTTGTCTTCTTGCAAAAGGAGCAAGAAAGAAGCAAAACAGATCCTGACAGGAGAACCAGGAGGGAAAACCCCGCACAGAACAGGGAAGCTAACCTTCCTGTGATACTTTCACAGCCCCTCAGAAGCTTCAAACAGTAGACACATCTTCCTCAGACTGCACGCTTGGACTGCCAGCGTGGCATCCCAAAGCTCCCCTAAAAACAAACTGGTTTGTCTCAGTTTGGTGACACAAGAGTATTGAGAACATCTGCACACAGCTGGAAACATACCAGCCGCCTTCTGTCTGCACACGCACAACACATACACACCCCAAGCTCTGAATCAGAAGAGCTTGCACATTCATCAATCGACTGAAACACAAGCAGAGCTGAGCTCCTACCTGTTTGCCCATCAGCTCCCCATCCGCACGCATAGACTGCGCCTTTCTTGGTTCTGAAGAGACTGTGGTCCTGCCCACACACAACCTGCAACAAACAAAAAGCCAGAGCTGGTCAGGAAAGGTCACGTGTTCAGAACCGATTTAATGAAGCATTACTGGCAGACAACTTGAGCAATCAATCTCTACCATGCCCGTCAGCTCAGATTTTGACCTTTCTCTCCAGATCACACAGCTCCGCAGACAGGGAAGGCTAAGAACAGCACGATACAGCACAGAAACCAGCAGAATTTTCTTTGTGGAAAGTGATGCTGCAGTTGATTTTTTTTTTTTTTCTGAGATCTAAACCAAGGCCTAGTTAACAGAAAGCTCGATTCAGCAGCGCAAAACAATAAACCAGCAATGAGATCTCCCTTCCCAGAGTGCTACCACATGGCTCTCAATGCCAGCTACAAACTGCTATTGATTCCTTGCCATGTAAGTGCTCTAGGAACACATCTGTTCTCAAATTGACATTTATGTTGAACTAGCAATCATGTCTGCCACAGGCTTGGCATGAATTAAAGCCAAGATCTTCAAAAGCAGACATTAAAAATTAGCCAAAGATTAAAGGGATTTAATCCACAAGTTAAAGGGATTGACTACCAAGAATATTAAGCACATAGCTGCTATAATCAAAGTACAAACAGGTACCAATTATTCAATGCCCTTGAAAAAAAAATAAAATAATGAAAAATCCAAACAGAAGTTTACAAGCTTAATTCAAAACATCATTAGGGTGTACCACAGCACAGTCCCATCACTCGGACTTGAATGAATAACCCTTGTTTTCTAGGATGCTGTATGGAACAGGAGCGACGTTTGCCCACAGCGTACTGCTACAGTGCCACAGAGGTACTAACAAACTGCTCCTGGGTCTGGAAAAACTGCAGCCACGTGCAGGCTTGGTGGCATTGATACTGCTCTGCAGTCCCTTGTTCTCCTAGAAACCTGCCCTAGGGAAACAACGGCTACTCTAAGTGGACTCACAGCTCACTTTCGAAATGGGGAAGATTAAACTCAAAATAAAACAGTTCCCAAGTGATGTAAGAGTGAACAAATCAGTCCAGGAAGAAATGAGGCCCCAGAATGACCTCCCTGCCACGCAGGTGTTACCTAGAAGTCAAGCCAGCAAACGCTGCACTGGCATTCCCATCAAGTTCTTCAGAAAGTTCAGACCCTGCACTGCCAGTTGCATCTGCTCTGTGAAGGCCACCTTGAGCTTTTTACAAGCAACCGTAGATGGCCTCATTATTTCCAAGAGCTTCAACTGAATGATTTGCATACTGAGTTTGTTTTTGTTTTTTTGTTGTTTTTTTTTCTCCTCATTACAGAATCACAGACTGGTTGAGTTTGGAAGGAACCTCTGGAAGTCATCTGCTCCAACCCCCCCTGCTCAAGTAAGGCAACCTACAGCCAGTTGCCCAGGATCACACCCAGATGGCTTTTGAATACCTCCATGGAGGGAGAGACTCTACAACCTCTCTGGGCAACCTGTGTCAGTCACGGTTAAAAAAAGCATTTCTCGATGTTCACAGGGAACCTCCTGTGTCCCAGTTTGGGCTTGTTCCTCCCCAAGTGCAAGACTCCCCTTGCTGACCTTCATGAGGTCCATGTCAGCCCACTTCTCCAGCCTCTGGAGGGCAGCACCACCCTCTGGTGTACCAGCCACTCCTCCCAGTTTCATGACATCTGCCAACTTGCCCCATCATCCAGGTCCTTAGTGAAGATGTTAAATGGGATTGGACCCAGTATTGACCCCTGGAATACACCACTAGTTACTGGCATTCAACTAGACTTCGGCCCAATGATTACCACCCTCTGAGCTTGGCTGTGAAGCCAGTTTTCAATCCAACTTCAGAATTCAATTCAGATGATCCTCTTACCTGGACAACTCTGCTGTCAAACTCCTTCAGCTGATGAATTAGATGGCTTTCACTGGACACCACCAAACAGCCACCGAGAAGAGAAAAGGCAACACAGAGGATTTCAGAGGACTGCAACCGAAAAACACGAAGGCAGACCTGCCTTTACTGAAAGCCACTTTGCTGTTACAAGAAGAGAGATTCTTTCACATGTTCTCTTATATATTCAAGAAGCATAGTTCCACTGTTAAACTACTGCACAAAGAAGAAAAATAATTTTGCATTCTCTTATTTAAGAAGTCGAGAAATATCACTTTTAAAATATAACCTCATGTATTCCCTCGTGGGAACTGGGGGTGGAACCAGTCCTCAAACATGCTCCCTAGTCCAGAACGAGCACAGACACAAGATAATACTGCAGCACCTATATAAACACTACATTTAACTAGAGATTAACCAGATATCCCAGAGCACAAAGTGTAATGTTAACATCCGTGTCATTCTTTCACAAAAAACAGGACTTATTAACAATTCTGTCTCTAACTTCCAGTATCGATGCAAAAAAAAAAAAAAAAGCTAGCTAAATTACAACTATTTTCTTGAACTCTACAAGATCTCTTCTAGGCCCTGCCAGTGAATCAGTAACTTTCAACATATTCCCAGTATCCACTTACATCGCTACTATCTTACAGAGAGTTGTGAGAACATGCTTTGGTGTGGCCCGCAAAAGCCCTGGAAAGGAAAAGCACTACAGATTCAAAGGCAGTTACAGCAAAGAGATTTGACAAAAGGATGCCTCTTTCATCATTAAATGGCATTTCTAACACTCTCAGAAATAGCACTTGCACTCCGAGAGGCTAAAGGGAGAAAGACTGACTAACACCAATTACCTCAAGCAATTTATGAAGGCTGGGTTTTCTCACTATGCCCTGTGAAAACTGTCACATGCTGACACCTTTCTGTCTCTTGTGAATGAGGTAAGAGCGCTCGTGCCCAGCCTGGGTTTAAAGCCAGGCCATTTATGTGATGCCTGCAGCACAAAAGCCTGTTCTCATACTCCTTAACCTTAAACGGCATCCTTACACTACCAAATTTTTCCCATCTTCAGCTTTTTTTCTGCAGCATTGTTTGCATGTATTACATTTTTAACATTAAGGAAGTTCAGGATCTTTGGATTCTCACCTGTAAGTTTCATCTTCCACAACCTTCCGGCCACACTGTCCATAAGAATTGTTCCCCATGGTGAAAACTGAAAAACAGTGATAAAATGCACTGGTTTTATTACTGTCCAATCCCCTGAAAACCTCTTTTCAGGTACACAAAATATGGTTATGCAATCCCCAGTACGAAAGGTTGAGCACAGTACTGTAAAAATTGGCATAAGCTTTCTTCAAACCAAGTCCACTTAAATTCAAGTGAATTCAAATTCCATTTTAGTCAACAATATCCCAGCGATACCGTTGCAGGCACGGTAGCGGTACCTGGAGCCCATTGGCTGTTTTTCAGTAATTGCCTAGTTCATCCTGCCGTTGCCAAGGAGACTCAGAAATAGATCTGTGCTCCCACAGGAGCGTTAAATCAACCAGCCAACCAGCTCACCCACTGATAAGCAGCACTGGATCTCCCAGCACAGCACCGAAGCCACTGCACCAGAGAATTCCCAGCGACATGGAGAGCCAATTCACAAACAGGATCTTCTATAAAGGCCTATTAATTAATTGCTTTTATAAACATAGCACTCAGGGCCTTCAAGGAGAAAGTAACACAGGAGTATTGGCAAAGCCAACCGAAACTGAATTCAAAAACACGTCTGAATGAACAAGACAAATAGGCTACACTTAAATGAGGCTTGTGGCTAGATAAACAAACCATATTTTGCAACACTTGTAGTGAAAAAGCTTCCAACACATTTACAGCCTGAGCCAAGCAGAGCTCAGTGCAGTTATCAGCTCAGGGTTCTCCCTCCAAGGAGCAATCCCACACAGGCCCACAGCTACCTGCATCACATCTACAGTACAGACAGCCCATCCAGGGTCTAGCTCTAAAGGAGAGAAGACAACCTTGTTCCAGAGCTTTGAATAAAAGCAGAGTCAGGTGTCCCTTGTCACCAGCAATACTGTACCTCCTTCGCTGTCTGTCAGGATCAGAGAATGGGCTCTCCCACAGGAAACCTGCAAGACTCGAGTCTGCTGTGGCTTCTCCAGCGGTAATGGAATTGGAGACGGTTCCAAGACATATTCATAGCCCTTAGCTTAAGGAAGAGAGGAATTTAAAACGTTAGGAGCTTCCACAAAACAAATTCATCATATATTTGCTGATGCTGTTGTACATACACACACTCACTTCTATTTTGTTACAAAAGCAGATATATTTTCTTCACTGTGAGGGTGGTGGAGCACTAGAACAGGTTGCCCAGGGAGGTGGTTGAGGCCCCATCCCTGGAGATATTCAAGGAGAGACTTGACGGGGCCCTGGGCAACCTGGTCTGGTTGGGGGTGTCCCTGCTGACTGCGGGAAGGTCGGACTAGATGACCTTTGGAGGTCCCTTCCGGCCTCGGCAATTCTATGATTCTATGATTTTAGAAAGCCAAGATACTAAAAAGGGTTGACTGAGCTTCATCAGGGTGGAGGGAGAAGTTAAAAGCCACATGGACGGTTGAAGCCAATAATTACTGCCTAATCAAAAATCCACCACACCTGGAAGCTGAATGTTATTACAGCTTCAGATGGCCACAACTGAGACACTGAGACTTTCAGCCATATGTTCAATATTTTGGTGAATAAGGCTGGATTAAACTAGAGAGCTTAACACCAAGCACAAACTAAGTATTCAGTGCAACAGGGGATATTGCAAACAAGGTACAACAGCAGCAGCTGCAAACAGACAGCATGAAAGGTGAACAAAAAAATCTTAGGGATTCATAGTTAAGGAAGAGTAGATTAAAAGCCCTTTCAGAAAAAAAGGAACGCAAGAAACGTTAGCTATCCTGGCTCCACAGGGAATAAGAGATCTAACATTTATGTAGGAAAAAAAAGATTTAGTAACTTGAAGAATACGTAATCAGTTACAGTCAACTGGGAAAAAAAAGGAAAAAAAAAAAGAACAGCAAAACATAAATCAGTACTAGGGAAAAGGTTAAGGGGAGATAAAAAGCTTTGATATCAAAGAAAGCCACTGTAACAAGTGAAATCAAATCCCAGAGGACAGAAAGCAGCATTCTGCTCACATATAGCAGTGCTTTAACTAGTTCTCACTGCCTTCAATGAAAATAAAAACCCAGAAAATCTACACACACGCTTTTATAGTAAGGCACTACTTGATGCGAGGAGGTGCATCACTGGCTGCTTGCAAACATGAAATACAGCAGGAACCGAAGGGCAGCAAAGTTTGTATCTGTCTAAAGAGATGTGAAAGTCACAACACAAAAAACCTTCTCCTCTCTCGTCCTTCCAGCAGAGTGACACAAGCTACTGGGATCTGTAGTAAACATCACACATATCTGAGGGATTTTGGAGAAAAGAGGCAACAAGCTGGCTACTGAAGAGGAAAGTGACAGTAAAATATTAGTAGCTTAACTTAGAAACAGCTGAAATTAGAGCATGAAATAGAACCATCTAAAAGACAGGAGGTTGCCAATTCCCCTGGAAATGAAGGATCTACAAGGACACAGTGCTGGAACTAGCAGATACCAAACTAAGTTTGTAAAACTGAGTAACGAGCAGCACATCCAACAGGAAACTTATCTGTGGGAAGTTAAATACGGAGCAGTATCACTCCCACTCATCCACACTGGATTGTCAACAGATCCTACCAAACACTGAACACTCCCTCAATTAGAAGGGCTTGAACTGCAAAACTGTTTAACCTATTTCTGGATTCCCTGGCAAAAATAATCTGCAGATCAGATGACAAACAAGAAAATGACAAGATACTCCCGAGACATCAGCGCTACAGAATTAAGACAGAATTAGAGCTGAAACCTTTAAAACCAGGAGTGGAGGCTTCTGTTGACCCTTGTTTTTGCAGCTGCTGTTTAAGCACACACACTCTTGGAAATCTATACAGCATGTTAGCAGCAATGCACACCAGCAGCACCACTGGCAACTGCAGCATTCTGCACAGTAACTGCAATTTTTCTTTTGCTTCTTCACAAAGTTTAATCTTTTGCCCTTATCAGATGCACTAGATTATGCTCTTATACACTCTAAAGAGAAAAACTGCTTTTAACATGGTTTTCCCTAGTTGTTTATGGAGGGGTGTTCTCAAACAGTTAAAGGCAAACAATCCATAAGGAAAGAAAGTTTGTGGGTTTCGTGTGTTTCTTAGGTGGAAGCTGGCAACGTTCTGCACCGGTGTTCTCAAACAGTTAAAGGCAAACAATCTATAAGGAAAGAAAGTTTGTGGGTTTTGTGTGTGTCTTAGGTGGAAGGTGGCAATGTTCTGCACTGAAATCATCACCTTAAACATGCCTGAGAGCCTGGTATAAGACAGAATAACTGAATGACATGGTTTTCCTTCAAAACGCAGTTCAGTTTTGAAATATCCCCCCCCCAACTTCACACAAAATTCCACTGACTGTAAAAAGAGACCTCTGTGGGAAAGGAAATTATTAGTTTACAGACGTAAAGGCAACAGGAGTGAACCATGTTGCCAAAATCGTTTTATTAACTAGCCCATGACATTGTCTATCAAACCATACACAGAGACTGTCTATCAAACACCTTACCAACACACACACACTTCTGTAGAATAAATTGTTACTTAGATTTTAACTATATCCAGGCAAGAATTTAAGTGCAGTGCACAGAACGGATGCATACCTTGACTAATTACAAAGCACACAAACACAGCTAAGTTCCAAAAAAAGGCTTCTTTAAAAACAAAAAAGCAAAGCCCCACAGTCCGCATCAAAGCCTCCTGGACATTTTTCATGCCTTCTAACCCAAAGCTTCCTACATCACACGTACCCCGTAGTGCCCCTGTGAGTCCCTACACCACCTCAATCCTTACTTCGATCTCTTCTGCTTCTCTGGAATCCGAGCTGGGAATCCTTGTTCAGCCCCATGCCCCACACTTTGGTGATGTCTGTGGTTGTAGAGGACAGCAGTGTGAATCCATAACCGCAGGCAGCAGAGGATATCTTTGAAGACAAACAAAGCCCACAATATTCAGTTATTAAAATGCGGCTTAGAGAAAACAAGTTTCACCCCACACTGTTCATCAGCGTTCCTCCTTCATTAAGCTATATCCAAATACGGCTCAAATTCATGGTGTGTTATGGTCTTTGCAAAAACGATCTGAAACACTCTTCAGTGACAAGCACAATGGTGTAAAGTGAAGTCCAACGTTACTCCAATTCCCATTCAAACCCAACATGAAGACCTATCTGCTGACCTGCAGCAGCAGATTAAAAAAAAAAAAAAAAACACCAAAATCAAACAAAAAACACACAAAGCAATATTCAGGGAATAACACTCACCCATTTTACTCAATTTTTGGCCCCCAAAAGCCCAGTGTAACAGCTCTAACCTTCTTTGAGCTGGACAGCAGAGCACTATATTTGAAACACGTGGACAAGAGAATAACATGGTTTGCAACAAGAGCCTCCAGTTTAATCAGCGTGAAAGCAGCCGAACGCCACTGAAAGTGAGGCCCTATTTCTCTAATAGATGTTTTTCACATTCTTACTGTCTTATGCCTCAGATAAGAGAATATAGATATGCAACGTTACTCCAATTCCCATTCAAACCCAACAGGAAGACCTATTTGCTGACCTGCAGCAGCAGAAGATTACAAGAAAAAAAACCAAAAACCAAAAAACAACAGAAAGCAAAATACCAAAATCAAACGAAAACCCCATAAAGCAATATTAAGGGAATAACATTCCCCCATTTTACTCAATTTTTGGCCCCAAAAGCCCAGTGTAACAGCTCTAACCTTTGAGCTGAACAGCAGAGCACTGTATTTGAAATACGCGGACAAGAGAATAACATGGTTTGCAACAAGAGCCTCCAGTTTAATCAGGGTGAAAGCAGCCAAACGCCACTGAAAGCGAGGCCCTATTTCTCTAATAGATGTTTTTCACATTCTTACTCTCTTATGCCTCAGATAAGAGAATACAGATGTGCTTATACATATATTCCAAACTGCCTGCTACAGTAGTTATACCAAAAATCATCCTGATGAATACCGCTATATTATTATATGCATATTTAAAAAAAAAGGAATGGCGGCAAAGTCCTTAAATGAGATTACTTAACGCCTTTCAAAGCTGAGGGAAGAAGCCTGCCCAGGTCAGCCCCCCCCCGCCCCTCCCCGTGTGAGAAGCAGCGCCATGGTCGCCCTGTGGCGATAAAACAAAGCCACCCACCTTCTCCTCCGTCTCCAGCCTGTAGGGCGTGGGTTGGATCCGCCGCGGCTTCTTCCAGCACACGTCCGGCTTCACGAAGCTGGGGACGCCCAGGGCGCCCGAGTAGGAAAACCCCCAGACGAAGACGCGGTCCTTTCGCTTGGCCGCCTTCCCCACGTACTGGAAGATCGGGGCGGCCTCCTCGGCCTCCCTCAGCTGGCGGGTGCTCCGCCGGTCCGCCGCCTCAGCCAGGCCCCTGCGGAGGGCCAGGGCGGCCGCCGCCCGCCGCACTCCCCTCAGCAGCCCCCACATCGCCGCCGCCCCGCTCCCCTCAGGCCGCCGCCATCTTGCCGACCTCTCACCTGCGACCCGGCGCGGGCCGCCCCCGCCGCGCACGCGCCCGGGACGTGCTGCGCGAGCCGCCGGCCACGGCCTGGCCTTAAAGGGGCTACGCCGGGCTGGGCAGATGGCGGGGCCCAGCCTGAGCCTGACCATGACCCCGACCCAGATCTAGATCTAAACCCAGACCCAAACCTACACCATCACACCCAGGCCCAAAACCAGGCCCAAACCTACTCCCAGACCCAGGGTCAGACCCAAATCCAAAAGCAGACCCACATCTAGCCCTAGACTCTGACCCAAACATAGTCCAACAGACCCAGAACTAGTCCCAAAGCCAGTCCCAGTCCCCTTCTACTAGTGAGGGGGAATCCATCTCTTCCCCCAAGGAACAGGCGATGGGACAAGAGGAAATGGCCTCAAGTTGCACCAGGGAGGTTTAGGACGGATATTAGGATGAATTATTCACCTAAGAGGTTATCAAACACTGGAGCAGGCTGCCTAGGGAAGTGGTGGAGGTACCATCTCTGGAGGTATCTAAAAGATGGACAGACATGGTGCTGAGGGACCTGGTTTGGTGGTAACTTGGCAGTGCTGGGTCAACAAGACCCAGAACTAGTCCCAAAGCCAGTCCCAGTCCCCTTCTACTAGTGAGGGGGAATCCATCTCTTCCCCCAAGGAACAGGCGATGGGACAAGAGGAAATGGCCTCAAGTTGCACCAGGGAGGTTTAGGACGGATATTAGGATGAATTATTCACCTAAGAGGTTATCAAACACTGGAGCAGGCTGCCTAGGGAAGTGGTGGAGGTACCATCTAATCAAACACCTTACCAACACACACACACTTCTGTAGAATAAATTGTTACTTAGATTTTAACTATATCCAGGCAAGAATTTAAGTGCAGTGCACAGAACGGATGCATACCTTGACTAATTACAAAGCACACAAACACAGCTAAGTTCCAAAAAAAGGCCTCTTTAAAAACAAAAAAGCAAAGCCCCACACTCCACATCAAAGCCTCCTGGACATTTTTCACGCCTTCTAACCCAAAGCCTCTCACATCACACGTACCCCGTAGTGCCCCTGAGAGTCCCTACACCACCTCAATCCTTACTTCGATCTCTTCTGCTTCTCTGGAATCCGAGCTGGGAATCCTTGTTCAGCCCCATGCCCCACACTTTGGTGATGTCTGTGGTTGTAGAGGACAGCAGTGTGAATCCATAACCGCAGGCAGCAGAGGATATCTTTGAAGACAAACAAAGCCCACAACATTCAGTTATTAAAATGCGGCTTAGAGAAAACAAGTTTCACCCCACACTGTTCATCAGCGTTCCTCCTTCATTAAGCTATATCCAAATACGGCTCAAATTCATGGTGTGTTATGGTCTTTGCAAAAACGATCTGAAACACTCTACACCATTGTGCTTATCACTGAAGAGTGAAGTCCAACGTTACTCCAATTCCCATTCAAACCCAACAGGAAGACCTATTTGCTGACCTGCAGCAGCAGAAGATTACAAGAAAAAAAACCAAAAACCAACAAAAAAAAAAAAAAAAAGAAAGCAAAACACCAAAATCAAACAAAAAACACACAAAGCAATATTCAGGGAATAACACTCACCCATTTTACTCAATTTTTGGCCCCCAAAAGCCCAGTGTAACAGCTCTAACCTTCTTTGAGCTGGACAGCAGAGCACTATATTTGAAACACGTGGACAAGAGAATAACATGGTTTGCAACAAGAGCCTCCAGTTTAATCAGCGTGAAAGCAGCCGAACGCCACTGAAAGTGAGGCCCTATTTCTCTAATAGATGTTTTTCACATTCTTACTCTCTTATGCCTCAGATAAGAGAATACAGATGTGCTTATACATATATTCCAAACTGCCTGCTACAGTAGTTATACCAAAAATCATCCTGATGAATACCGCTATATTATTATATGCATATTTAAAAAAAAAGGAATGGCGGCAAAGTCCTTAAATGAGATTACTTAACGCCTTTCAAAGCTGAGGGAAGAAGCCTGCCCAGGTCAGCCCCCCCCCGCCCCTCCCCGTGTGAGAAGCAGCGCCATGGTCGCCCTGTGGCGATAAAACAAAGCCACCCACCTTCTCCTCCGTCTCCAGCCTGTAGGGCGTGGGTTGGATCCGCCGCGGCTTCTTCCAGCACACGTCCGGCTTCACGAAGCTGGGGACGCCCAGGGCGCCCGAGTAGGAAAACCCCCAGACGAAGACGCGGTCCTTTCGCTTGGCCGCCTTCCCCACGTACTGGAAGATCGGGGCGGCCTCCTCGGCCTCCCTCAGCTGGCGGGTGCTCCGCCGGTCCGCCGCCTCAGCCAGGCCCCTGCGGAGGGCCAGGGCGGCCGCCGCCCGCCGCACTCCCCTCAGCAGCCCCCACATCGCCGCCGCCCCGCTCCCCTCAGGCCGCCGCCATCTTGCCGACCTCTCACCTGCGACCCGGCGCGGGCCGCCCCCGCCGCGCACGCGCCCGGGACGTGCTGCGCGAGCCGCCGGCCACGGCCTGGCCTTAAAGGGGCTACGCCGGGCTGGGCAGATGGCGGGGCCCAGCCTGAGCCTGACCATGACCCCGACCCAGATCTAGATCTAAACCCAGACCCAAACCTACACCGTCACACCCAGGCCCAAAACCAGGCCCAAACCTACTCCCAGACCCAGGGTCAGACCCAAATCCAAAAGCAGACCCACATCTAGCCCTAGACTCTGACCCAAACATAGTCCCAGACCCAGAACTAGTCCCAAAGCCAGTCCCAATCCCCTTCTAGTGAGGGGGGATCCGTCTCTTCTCCCAAGGAACAGGCGATGGGACAAGAGGAAATGGCCTCAAGTTGCACCTGTGAGGTTTAGGATGGATATTAGGAAAAATTTATTCACCTAAGAGGTTATCAAACACTGGAGCAGGCTGCCTAGGGAAGTGGTGGAGGTACCATCTCTGGAGGTATCTAAAAGATGGACAGACATGGTGCTGAGGGACCTGGTTTGGTGGTAACTTGGCAGTGCTGGGTCAACAGTTGGACTTGATGATCCTAAAGGTCTCTTCCAACCAAAAGGATTCTATGGTTCTATGATTCTATACCCACAACTACACCCAGACACAAACCCAGACCCCGACCTAGCCCCAAGCACAAGCTCAGACCTAGACCCAGACCAAGTCTCCAGCCTGAACCTGGACCCACCTGGCGTGGCAGTGCCAGGGCTGTGGTGGCACCCAAGCACAGTCCGCACATCACTCTCCCTGTTGAAAAGCAGCCCTGTCCCAGAGGCACCAGCTGTGCTGTGATGGCCACCAGACATACTGTGATGGCCATCAGCCATGCTGTGATTACCATTAGACATACTGTGATGGCCATCAGCCATGCTGTGATTACCATTAGACATGCCATGATGGCCACCAGCAGTACCGTGATGGCCACCGGCCATACTGTCATGGCCATGGGCCATGCTGTGATGGTCAGTGGCCATGCTGTGATGGTCAGTCATCAGCCTTGCTTTGATGGCCACTGGCTTCCCATGAGGCATCAGGAGGGACCAGCACCCACAGCCTTGGAGGGCTGCTCACCCCTCATGCCCTGGCAGCCCCATGGGCCCTGGGCCGCCCACCCCATGCCCCTCACACTCTGCTGCCATTTGGGGTGGCCACCTTGCCTCATGGCTCCTATCCCACCCCAGCAAACACCATCTCCCCACACCCTGGCTCTCACTTTCCACTAGAGGCAGTGACACAGCTGCCTCCCAGGAGGAAGTTGCCATCCTTTCTTCCCCCCCAACAAAATTTCCTCCCCCCCGGCATCTTTCGCAAGAAACCCTTGCCCAATCCTTCACCAGGGAGAAACGCCTTTCCTGCCGCCGTGTCGTTCCCCGGTGTCTGCTCTGACCAGCCCTCCAGGTGGACCTTAAAATATGTCTACAAAGTGTCTCTCCTTTATTGGTGAAAAACGGAACATCATTCAAAATACAAATAGGGGATAAAATGGAGTCTAGTGGTGAGAGGTCCCCAATGGCTGTGGAGGCCTCAGCGCCCCCCAGAGCTGGTAGAACGGGGCTGGGTCCCTTCATGGCGTCATTAGAACATCTCAGGTTCCTGGTGCCAGTGGATGAAGATAGACGCTGCGTTGTGCCAATCTGGCCAGCAGCCCCCTGGGGCCTGTGATGGCTGCCAGAGCCACCTGGATCCCACAGTCTGTCTCTGAGCCCCGGCTGCACAGGAGCTAGTGGAGATAAAGCATGGGCTGGATGGTCTGGGGGGCTGAGGCATCACAGGATCTTTCTCCGGGTGCTCTCGGTGCAGCGGTTCAGGATGAGGTCTTTGCTGGGACGGGGAGGAACAGCGGGCTGAGCCTTGGGCTTGTTCTCCTCTTGCTCATTTTTCTCAACTGTGGGTAAAGTAGATGTACAGATGGGTCCTAACACCTTCATGTGAACATTCAAAAGCTTCCTATGTAATGGCCACCAAAGCTCCTGCTTCTCCTCCTGTCTCAGCTGCATGTGATGGTCTTCCCAGAGGTTGGAGTGATGGGATAAGCCCACCAGTGCCCAGCTGGGAGCTCTTCTCAGGTGGGAGCCCAGCTCTATGTCTGCATGAGGACCTGCTCTCCATCAGGAATGGCATGGGTCCTGCATGGGGATTACCACATCTAAAGTATCTACCTCAATAACAACTTCCTTCTTCAAGCAACACTTCCCTCTAGGTGCTTTGCTGACAGCTAGAGTACACGATAATGGTAACAGCAGCACAGGTGAGGTTAGGTGCACTAAGGAAAGCACGGGTCCTAAATGTGGGTTGACCTCCCACCAGGACCATATTCTGCTCCTTCTCTGTCAAACCTCTAACCAGAGGTAAGGAACCTCAATGAAAAGAAACATCTCCCTGCACATGTTTTCCCCACAGAAAAAGAGTGGAAGGGCAAGGTGTGACCTCCATGTGCTGTCCTGCTCTAGCAACCAGTGTTGGAGGGCACGGGCCGTCCCTGCAGAACTTCAGCCTGTGTCTAGGACAAAGGACCTGCTGAGACTTACTGATGGCATTGGCCTTGTTGTGGATTTTTTCCTTCATGTTCCTCCGGCTCTGGAGGTACCTCTTGCTGTTCCTCCTGTAGGTCTCCTGGCTGATCTGCTTCCGGCCCTGCTTGTGGATGCTCTTGGCGTTTCGGACGGTGGATCTGCAGTGAGTCAGAAGCAAAACTTTTGGTTTCCGGGACGGCAGCTCTCACGCCTCACACTTTCCCGACAAGGATTTCCCCAGCCCTGCCTGTCATGGACCTGCTGCAGCCGGACCCTACACTTCCTCCTCTGCCTCACCCAAACCCCAGTATCTGCTTTGTGGTTTTGTCCAGTGGAGGACAGCAGCTCAATGCAGGCCAGCGAGAGCAGCTGAAGGTGGGATGTGATGGGGGCAGTTGGAGCAGTGCTTTGGAAGCAAATATGGAAGCCTGAGCACAAGCCTGGAAAGTCATGATGGGGAAGGCGACGTGGATGGGCATAAGGCTGGAAGCACGAGATGGGCATGAGGTTTATCCAACAGAGTTCAGGCAAGCCCTGGAAGTGATCTATAGCTCTTGGATGGATGGACATACAACATCTGTGCTGGCTGCAACACTGAGATCCCTGGTGTGGTGTTTGGCTTGGCCCTACAATGCCCAAGGATCAGTTCCTGGGCCAGGGGAATGGAGTTGGGTACGTGCTGGTGTGCACCTGGATGTGCGGTGTGGAACCCACAGCAGAGGAACTGCTGAGAGAAGTGAAAGGCTGAGCAGCCTGGGGCTGTGCGGTGGGACGCTGCTGCAGGGGAACCCCCAGCATCAGGGACCGTCCCCAGGCAGGCAGACAGAGGCCACCACTTCATTTTCACTACCAGGGCTTGAGCGGCGTGGCTCCTGACATCCATCCCATGGCATTGTCCTCCTGCTCTGCTCAAGGCATTGGCCCCTTGCCTTGCCCACCCACCTTTCAGCGTCTCACTGGTTTGAGCACGTGTCCATCACGAAGTAAAGCTCTTGCCCACAACAGCAGGTCACCACCCTTGCAGGAGGACTCAGCCTAGGGACAGCATCCACCATGGTGGGGCAGGTCACTGTCCTTGAAATAGGCCACCTCACCCCCCTCACTGCCCCTGCCAGAGCAGGTTCACCCAGAGCAGGTCGCACAGGAACATGTCCAGGTGGGTTTGAATGTCTCCAAAGAAGGAGACTCCACCACCTCCCTGGGCAGCCTCTTCCAGGGCTCTGCCACCCTCAAAATAAAGGAATTTCCTCCTCATGTTCCACCTAGAAGTTCCTACTCACCAGCAGGCATCACAGCGCTCAAATAGGTGGATTTGGGTCATTTTACACTGTCTCAGACTCAATCTGTGCTCCAGCAGAGCTGGATTTTGAGAGATTTTAGAGCAAGGCTGCCGTGTTTTCTTGTAGGGAAGAAAAGATAGCGGCAAGCTCTGCCCTCCCCAGCAGTTTTTTTTGCATCAGAATTAATGAGTTATTATTGCTTTTTATCTTTTTAATCAAAATAAAATCCCTTCCATTAGCTCAAATCCTCCCATCAGATTAGGCCATTTGGCAGCTCTGATTAGTCAAATCTCTCCTCGCCTCTCATAGATTCAGTGGACGCACTTAGGAAATAAGAAAAAGGCCAATTTGAAAATTAAATGAGATTAGCCCAGAAAAGAAACTTCGCAGAAGGACAAGGGGAATTGTGCCTGGCTGGGGGACCTGCTGGAGCAAGGACCATCCATCCCTGCGTCAGAAACGCTGGGGTGCCTCTCCATCCCTGGAAGTTGGGGAGCACAGAGCTATTTTTGCTGCAGGATCTGCCTCCTGGTCTCTCTTTGCCCTGCTCACATCCTTCCTGGGCAGTTCCCCATCGCCCGGGGTGAGCAAGGGACACAGCAAACCACTGTCTGGTTTCATTTCACCCACCTCATGGTGGTGTGAAGATCGCCCGGGGTGAGCAAGGGACACAGCAAAGCACTGTCTGGTTTCATTTCACCTACCTCATGGAAGAGCTTTAGTCCTCCTTTCCCCCCGCCCTGCCCCGGGGCTTTTCCTACCTTCGTGGAGGAGCGCTCCGGTTCCTCAGCTGACTCTTCACAGAGGTGTTCTCCTCCCCGGCTTTCTGCAGGTACATGGAGGGGTAATAACCCGTGGTTTCATCCTTCCTGCAATGAGACACAAAGCAACGAGGCTCACAGTCTTGGCTCTGTGACCACCACCTCCTCACCCCTGTCCCCAGCAGGATGGCTGCTGCTGGCTGGGCTATTTCATCTCATGAGGTTTGCAGCGATGGGGGCTTCAGTTGTGTCCCCCCACCCCGCACCTTACGTGCCTGTGGCTCTCCCTGAAAGTGTAGCTTGAGTCCCAAAAGCAAGTAGGTAGCAGGCAGCAATGGCTCACAGCTTTCAGGGTCTCACCAGCTTGTATTATCTCCCTTGGGGGGGTTGATGAGCTCCTGAAAGATGTCTTAGGGTCTTCTGCTGGACACCCCGCCATGCACTCAAGAAACACTCCCTGGTCCCTCTCCTGTTCCCCCCTCCAGCCCTGCACCCCTGCAAACATCCGGAGATCCTCCCGGTGCCGCTCGCCTGGGCAAGGCTGGGGCAGGAGGACCCCCGGGGTTTGTAGCCACGTTGTGTCCCACTGCGAGGACACAATCCATGACTCTCCTGAGGGTGCACTCAGCTGGGGTTCCCCTCGGGAAAGCCCGAGTTTGCGTGGCAGGTCCAGGTTGGGATGAAAGTTGAGGCTTTGCAAAACGAAATGTGCCAAATACTTAAGGGCAGTGCTAAATAACAGATTTTTATTTTTTTTTTCCATTGCCTCCTCCTTGGATGCCTCTGAAGGCCCCAGCAGAGGAAGCCCCAGCTGCAGTGTTTCACATCTGCAGCCCTGCGGAAGGAAGTGCTGGGCAGAAGCACCAAGCAGCCCGTGGCTTTCACAGCCCCAGGGTGGAGAACCGCTGGTCCATCCCTTCCCTCTGCCCGAGTCCCACCAGCCTCATCCGTTCTTGGCATCTCTCACCTGATGACCCACCAGCCATCAAGGAGCTTGTGGATGACTTCGATGGTATCACCCTCCTTGAGGGTCAGCTCGTCCTCCTCCACAGCTGTGTAGCTTTTCTGGACAATGTATTTCTCACCTGCACACAAAATTGGGACAGCAGGTCATATGCTACCACCCCAGGGATGGGGGTCAGCCACACCAGAGCATCTATCCTACATTTCAGGCAAGACCTAGGGTGCTTCAGGTCTCCAAGTCTGGATTCAGACTTCCCCCATCCTTGTCAGTGCCTGTGGCTCATCCCAACCCCTCTCCAGGAGAAAGCTGGTGGAAGCAAGCAGTGGAAGTACTGGAAGTGCTTCAATCTCTGGTGAAGAGCATGTTTATGATTTGAGTGATTAAATGAGGAAGAAGGAAGTGTTGTGCTAAGAAAGTCTGTTGCAGTGTTTTGAAAACCACAAAGATGAAGCCTGGAGAAAAATCTGCACAAATAGAATCATAGAGTCATTGAACTGTCCGGGTTGGAACGGACCTTTAAGATCATTGAGCCCAACCATCAACCTAACTCTGATAAAACCATCACCAAACCGTGTCTCTAAGCACTATGTCAACCCATTTTTTGAATACCTCCAGGGATGGTGCCTCAACCCCTTCCCTGGGCAGCCCATTCCAAGGCTTGATAACCCTTTCTGTGTAAAAATTGTTCCTGATCTCCAAACTGAACCGTTCCTGGGGCAACTTGAGGCCGTTTCCTCTTGTCCCATCACCTGTTCCTTGGGAGAAGAGACCGACCCCCCCTGGCTACACCCTCCTTTCAGGGAGTTGGAGAGAGCGATAAGGTCTCCCCTCAGCCTCCTTTTCTCCAGGCTGAACACCCCCAGCTCCCTCAGCCTCTCCTCACAAGACTTGTGCTCCAGACCCCTCACCAGCTCCGTTGCCCTTCTCTGGACCCACTCCAGCACCTCAATGTCCTTTTTGTGGTGAGGGGCCCAAAACTGGACACAGCCCTCAAGGTGGGGCCTCACCAGTGCCCAGTACAGGGGGAAGATCTGCAGGGTCCTTTCTTTGCTCCCTGTGGTAAGGCCCTGCTCTCATGGTGGGGTGATGACCGAAATGGGGGGGCTGATAAAGAGAATGCAGAAGCCAAGCGTGAGGGAAAGCCTGCGCCTTGGGTCAGAAGCTGCACAAAGCTCCTTTGCCAACCCAGCGATTGGCATGGACCCAGCTGGATCAGGATGCCCACTGAATGAAAGATGTCCAGGTTTGATCAGCCAGAACAAGGCTGATGCTGAGTTGCAGGTCACGGGAAGCTCCTGAGGTTGAGGGTAAGGCACTGAACCATGAGATTTGTCCCTCCTGGCAGCTCCTACAGCAACATCTCCCTGAATGAAAGATGTCCAGGTTTGATCAGCCAGAACAAGGCTGATGCTGAGTTGCAGGTCACGGGAAGCTCCTGAGGTTGAGGGTAAGGCACTGAACCATGAGATTTGTCCCTCCTGGCAGCTCCTGCAGCAACATCTCCCTGCCCAGCGGTCCTGCTCAGCGTGGACTGCCTGATGGGGGCCTCTCAATGGACCAACCCAGCGGGGAGCTGCGGCTCCTACAGCAACATCTCCCTGCCCAGCGGTCCTGCTCAGCGTGGACTGCCCGATGGGGGCCTCTCAGTGGACCAACCCAGCGGGGAGCTGTGGCCGGCTGTGTGCTCTGCCCCCCCAGATTACCCCAACATTTTACCTGCGTAGTTGGGCTCCTGCTCTTCAGACTCATCGGGACCATCCATGGGCTCCAGGTAGGCGGCTGGCACCCAACCCCGTTTATTCCTCAACTGGCAAAACCACCAGCCTGCAAGGAAAGCAGCCGTGGGTGAGAGCAGAAGGTGTCATGGGGCCACCCTGGGGGACACCATGGGTCTGTCCCCCCCAGCTGGGGCAGGCACAGGCGTCCACGGAGGGAAGGGATGGCGCCGGGGCTGGTCTCTGCTCACATGGTGCAACCAGGGAGCTCGGCCAGTCCATGCTGCTTCCTCCCCAGGGCAGGAAACCTCCCAGGCTGAGGCAGGCGGGGAGCTCGCAGGGTTTTCTAGGATTGCCCCACACCCTCCCCGGCCAAAAGCGACCGTCATGTGGCTCCATGTGAATGTGAAACATGTCCCAAGGGGGCAGGAAGCTCTGAGGGGGTGGGTGCTGCTGGTTGCGTTTGCTCTGAGCCTCTCCTCTCCTTCAGGAGAACTACCTCCACGCTGCATCTCATGGGAGATGCAAGGGCAGCCCTTGTCCCTGCTGAAACAGTGGCCAGGAGGGTGCTGGCCCTCAGGGGCTCTCTAGAGGGATGGACACGTACCAGTCTCGCTCTTCTCCACGACGTCCACCAAGTCCCCAGTATTTAGAGCCATCTCAGATCTGGAGCTCTTCTCGTAGTCGGCGATGGCTCGGTACGTTTGCAGGACGATGGGGCCTGTGATGTCTGCGTGGGAGAAGGGAGAGATGTTCCTGCTTCTGGCCCCCAGGACACAAATGCCCTATTTCAGGGCAGACCAAGAGCAGCCCAGGACAGCCCAAAGTGCTCTCCCAGCCTCTTGTGGTCCCAAACCAGCTGGATCCCAGGGCAGGGACTCATTCCCCCCGAGGCTGTGGTTTCCTCCCAGCTGTAGCTCTGGCACAGAGACCATGCTCTCCATCAGGGCATCTGCTGTGGGATGCCTGTCCCTCTCCCCCCAGTTTTTGCCACCACAAAGCCACCCACTTGCATCCCTCTGAGGCATCTTACCGGTGGAGCTTTTCTTGGCATCCTTTGGCAGGAGGAAGACCTCGGGCTTCCTGATCCTAGATGGGTGAGAGTGAAGGTGTCTCGATGCCGACCACCCCTCACCCCGCTTCCCTGGGGGCTGCTGCCAGCGCCCAGGGGCCAGGGATGCAGGATTTTCCCCCAAAAATGGGCAGCGGGACTCACTGGCTGTCCGTGATGGGGTTCGTGTCGTCGGGACGGACCTTGAAGAAGTTGACCACGTGAAGGCACCGGGAGATCTTGTGGGGCAGGTTGACCAGGGTGTAGCAGTACTCGGCCAGCGTGCCCTGCCTGTTCTGGGTCGAGCGCTGCCCGTCAAACCACTTCGGGGCTGGGGGAGATGGGCAAGGACTCAGAAAAAGCAGAGAGAGAGCCCTTGCTTTACGACTTTCCCAAGCAGGCTGCTCTGGATTATTAATTTGCCCCGAAATCAAGCAGATTTGCCTCCGGGGTGCTGCATGGTGCCTGTAAGGCGAAGCTCTGCAGGATGATGGCCCCTTCTCTTCCCTCTCTGCTCCCCCCAAAGCCTTGGCAGGCACTTGGGGGGCCACGCACGCTGCTGAAAAGGCTGGGGAGAAGCTGCTGGCGGGACCATGGCTGTTTTGCAGAAGAAATTCTGCAGCCCTGGGTTCCTGGTTAGAGCAGAGGGGCTGGGGAGGCCAGCGTGGCTCAGTGCCCAGCCCGGGTGCCACGGGTGCCCAGTGCCACCAGACTTGTCCCCCTGCAGACCCTCACCTGGCTTGGGCAAGTCCAGAACAGACCCCTTTTGACCCCGTTTCAGTTACGGGGTAACCCCCACATCCCTGCTCAGCCTAAGCCCGGCTGCTGGGCTGTGAGAAGAGGGGGGAGGGTTTGGGGGGGACTACCCTGTGCCCAGGGGAGATGGGCACATCCCTCGTCCCACCGGCCATGGCACACGTCCAGGATACCCCAGGGCCCCAAAATGCTGCCGGCAGCCCAGCCCCACAGCAGTGTTGACCCCCACATTGGGTGCATGTGTGCAGCCAGTGACACCCCCACACCCCAGGGCAGCCCGACACCTGCCTCCTTCCTCCCCAGCAATTTCAGTTCCCCAAACGGGCTCAGGATGCCTCAGACAGCCCCAACATGGGGGTGGCAGCATGTGGGAAGGGTCCTGGCATGGCCCCCCCATGTCAGTCCGGCCCCAAGAGGAGCCCCCCCTCCCCATGGCACCCGCAGTGGTGCGTGGTGCAGGTCTATTCCCCCTCCAGAGGTGCCGACCCCAACCCCCAGCCGCTTCCCTTGCTCCTTCCCGCCTCCTTTAAAGCAGGAAATTAAATAAAAAGGGGAATTTTGCTGACCTGCACCTTGCTTGGGGACAAACCGTCAGCTCGTGGGATCGGGAGTTCATTTCTCTGTCGTTGAAGACATATTGCATCACCTCCTCTTACATGGCATCTGTGCTGCCATAAGGGCACTAAAACCAATCCCAGTGACGGTGTCACCGAAGGAGGGGTCAGATCAGCTTGGGGTCCCCAAAGCCAGACCCTCTGCACCAGCCAGGAGTTATAGGTGATGCTGCTGGACGTGTGTCTCCTTTGGGGAGGAGGGATGGGGTCTGTGGGGCTGGTGAGGGTTGGAAGAAACCACGGCGGCTGCTCAGCCCTTTCTGGGGTTTTGATTTCCAGCCCAGAGGGGAAGGAACAGAAATCTCATCGAGCACCTGCGGAGGGGGCAGGCGGCAGAGCTCGGCCCCGGCGGGGAATTTCCCAACCAGCTGCAATTTCTCTTTCACCCCCTCCCCACCTTCTCTTTCACCACCTGCCCCTCACCTGGCAAGTGCGGGATGATCCGGTTCTCCGTGTTGATGTCGCCGGATTCAATGGGGAACATCTCCTTCAGGGCTTTCTGCAGAGCAGAGCCAGGCACGGCCATGAGGATGGCAATGGAGGGGTGGGGGTTCCCCCGTGGCACCCACAGCCCTGCCCGTGGCTTGCCCCCCCCTTCCTGGCACTCGCCCCGTTGCCACCGGCACACGTTGGCTGGACTCCGTGCCTCGACACTGGGAGAAATCTGCCAGGGGAGCACAGAGCCCATGGCTGCCCCCACCACGGGGTGAAGGAGATCGAAGCACTGGAATCCAGGAACCTCTTTTGAGCTGGGTTTGTTTTGGGGCAATTTCAGCTGGAATTCGCCCTCTTCTTTTTCCCCACCCCGAGCCCTGGAGCTGGGGGTCGGTGCCTGCCCTGGGAGCACTCACGTGAAACTCATATATCTCAGTAAACCGGCGGTAGACGAGCTTTTCGGAGAGGTCATTCCACTTCACCAGGAACATGTAGACCTGAGGGGCAAAGCAAAGGTTGGGCAAGTGGGACCCCCAACCCTGCTGCAGCTGAAGCCCCCAAGGAGCCCCCTGGATGCTTCAGTTCCAGATAAATTGCCTTTTTTTTCTTCCAACACCCCAAGGTGAGTAGTTCTGCCCAGGCTGTGAGCGAGCTGGGCACCAGGGATGCTCATCAGGGATGGAGAGGGGATGGAAACGTGCAGACGGGTGGGAATCAAAGAGGGAAAAGCCCTTTCCAAGCCTGCAAAGTAACCAACAGGCTGTAAAGGAGGTGCCCCAAAATCTTGTGTGTTCAGGACACACAGCCTCTGGCTGCCTCCAGCTCATGCCACCAGCCATGATCTCCCCAAAAAAGGATGCTCTTGGGCCCTCGGTCACATTTATCTACAGAAATTTGCTGGCCAGGCTTTTTACCCCGTCCAGCCCTTGCTACTCAGCTTGTGGGAAGGTCTCTGCATACTCACGTAGTGCTGGCTGGGGAAAAACCTCTTCTCGTAGCCCAGCAGCTCGATGTGCCGGATGAAGGCGTCCCCCATGGCTGCTCCTGGCCCCGGTGTCCCCCTCCAGCCCCTTCTCCTGCCACCCCGAGGGTGTCTCAGTGTCCTCTCCTCCCCTCTGCCCTCGCACCGCTCCGCTTCCCCGTTAAAGCCCCTGGGAAAGCGGAAGCCCCGCTGCAATCACACCCCTAATTGTTTACCCGCTGTGGTTTATATTGAGTCGGTGTTTCCCGCTGGGGAGTCTCCAGCCCGGCCCCTCCAGTTGCCACAGGGCTGGGGAGGAGGAGGAGGAGGAGGAGGGCAGCAGGGAGGCTGCTCCGGAGGCACCTCTGAAATCAGAGGACAGTGAAGGACCACGGCCAGGTCGGTTGCCCCGATAGCCAAGTGGCCCCTCTGACCACTGAGGTTGCCCCCGTGATGGCACAGGGGAACAGGAGCACCCGTTCTGCAGAGGGACGAGGACAAAGTGCCTTGGCAATGGCACCCAGAGGGGTCTCCACCCTCTGAGCAGAGCTGGATGGGCTGAACGAAGCACAGGGATGGCAGCACCATCCTCTGCATGGCTGGGGACCGTCCTGCGCTCCCGGGGCAGGTGGGGAAGCTGGGGACACGTCCCAGGCAGGATGGGGCAGCCACAGGCTCCATGTGCAAGAGCTCCTGCCCTTGCATCACCATTTCCTTTCGGTTACCTGTAGCTTCCCCAAAATCTGCCACCAAAAGCAGCCCAAAGGCTCCATGTGCAAGAGCTCCTGCCCTTGCGTCACCGTTTCCTTTTGGTCACCTGCAGCTTCCCCAAAATCTGCCACCAAAAGCAGCCCAAGGACCTGAGCCAGCCCCAGCACCGCAGCTCTGCTCCCCGCCTCACCCGGGCACAGAACCTGGTGGCCATGGGGCACACCAGGCATGGGGACACCCCAAGGTGGGCTGGAGATAAACCTCTGCCTCCTACTGGGAGAGCAGGAGGGTCCCTTGCAAAGCCCCTCTGCAATGGCATCCTCCTCCTCCTCCACCCCCAGTGCTGAGCGCAAGGGGCTGAGGGACACGAGGGGTTGTGGGTGTCAAACCCACGCTGCTGGCAGGCAAAGGGGCCACCTGGCAGCACCCTGATCCCCAGGGGCACCCTCGATTACAAGGGGTGTCAGTGCTGGGCTGTCCCCTGATGGGATGCTCGGCAGGAGCCGGCCATGAGCCTTCAGCCTCATCCCCGTCTCCCTCCATGACGTCCCCTCCAACAGGCCGTGCTCAGTGTGGCTGGTGTCCCCAGCAGGACATCACCTCACAGCACCTGTGTCCCCCCGTTCCTGGCAGGCAGCACCCCCAAACCACCAGCAGAGCTACCACAGGCTCTCCCCACCGACCACCACCAGCAAAACGTGACACAGGGTCTGCCCCCCGTGTCCCTGTCAGCTGCAGAGACAAGAGCTCGCTCTGGCTGCATTCAAAAAACTCAAACACCAAGTACAGCTTTCCTCCTGAACCTCAGGCACGGTGCTTTGCAGGTGCTGAGATCAGAAACACAGTCATTTAAATTTGGTTTCTTATCATTTTAAGACGGGGACTTCCCTGTATGCAAGGCAAACTGACACAACCAGTTAATATTAAAAAGACTCCTCCAGGGCTGCCCGGATTCCGCTCCGTTAATAACCACGTCGCTGCTGCTTCTGCAGAACCACCACGAGATTTCTCATGAAAGCTAATTTTATAATTACGAATGTTTGTGCTGAACTCAAAGCTTGCTGCAGGAAAAGCAGCGCCTTGCTGGAAACCACTCAATTCACATGTTTCTTCCCGTTTCCTCATTCTTCATCTTGTGATGCGAGAAACGAAACGGAGCTTTCAGCTCTCGCTGCTGGCCATGGGGCACCTCAGAGGGATGCAACCTGTAGCTCGGGGTGATCCACCACTCAGCATTGCCACCAACGGGGTGGCAAGAAGCATAATTTTAGAAGAAAACTCTTGGAGGAGTAAAGACCCAGCTGCTAAGTAAGCGGAGTTTATGGAATTCATGAGCTGATCCATGTTTTAGGAGACGAGGCTGACACCTGAATGCAGGACCAGGTTTTGGAGTGAGATGGAGACCTTCTGCTGGCCTCCAGCCCCAGAGCTGGCAGTGATGCTTTGCACCCACGCACACCTTGCTTTCTCACCCCATGGCTGTGGGGTGAGACCGGCACGTAGGGGACTTGTGGTGACAGGTTTCAGTCGAGGTTATTGAAGGGGAAGCGCTGGAGGTCTGGAGGTTCTCAGGCGAATGGACTACCCTCTTTTCTGTGGTGCTCCACCCAACACCAGTACCAAAACCTAGAAATCAAAAGCTGAGGAAAGAAATGCCACCCTAATGCTGTTCAAAGTATAATTATATATATATATTTTTTAGTTTAAATTTAAGTTTAACTCAATCCAGAGCCAAGTGAACAGCACTACCTGCTCCAACAGCTGTTGCAAAATCCCCAACCTGAAACCCTGCCCTCCTCCTTAGCCGCCTGCCGCTGACGGCACAGATGGGAGAAGAAAGGAAGGAGAAAGGATTCAAGCTTTGTTACGTGGCAAACTTCAAATCCCAAGGGAAAACCACTGGCTGGCAGCTGCAGGAGAGGTGCTGGACCTCACCTGACATCTAGTGGTACCCACTGGAGAAGAGCCAGACCCCAGGAACGCCCAGCTCCACCATGGACACCCCGGATCCTGCACCACTGGCATCAAAAATTCCTGTTTTAGGGAAAGGAAGTGCCCAAAGGAGCAGGATGGGCCTTTAAAGTTCAGTAACACCCAGGGAATAGACACCGCTCTGCTGCTCCATCACCACAAAGCTGCTCTGCTGGAACGAAAAAGAAGCATTCAGAGCTCCAATAAGTTGTTGCAATTTTATTTATTTACTTGTTTATTAGTACAACAAGGCTTTTTAGGGCATTATCACTAAACACCCGAAGAGTGACACACCTCATTTATTACTAGTTTGGAAATGAGTGAAATTTTCATACAAGGTCAACATCTTAAAAGTCTGCTACCTGTTAGGACTATAGAGAGAGATAGATAACTTTTCAATATAAAAATCGATATTTGGAAGGTATAAATACCGGTGCAATTATTTTGTCAGTTTAATTTCTCTCTACCTGCTACAACTCAAAACTTCTGAGACCAAGAAGAGCCCCACGGCCAGCCCAGCAGTGGGAGGGACACGTCACACACCACCACCTTAACCCCAGTCCTTCCAGTAAAAACCACTGTACTGGTTTTCCCTTCAGGGTGTCCACACTCTGCTGTTATAAACTTGACTGGTATTACTTGTTTTCAGAGTTCTTTTGCTATGATGCCTCACCCTCATTAAATGAGAGCGCTAACGACTCCCATCAGCAACACACGGCCTTGCTGGGCAGGCAGCTGGGCAAAAAGTGCCTCCTAAAGCCATCTGAGGGCGAGGAAGGGATGGACCACCCTTCTGCTTTTTCAAAAGGGGAAGTCAAGAGCCAGCTGAAAAGCCAGGAAAAGCTGCATTAAGTCATTTCCCCATTTCACCAGTTCTAGCGGGAATCGCGAGACGGGCTGTTGCCCTGATAACAACCCATTTATGGAGGTGTTTATGGGGGGACTGAGCACGACTGTTGAAGGACTCAGCAGTGAAATACACCAGTGGTTATGATTTGGGACAGTCCCTGCACAGCTGAGAGTTAACAGGTAAGTAAAGTCACGGGGCTCCTTCCCGTGGGGCTGAGGCAGGAGGGCAGCTCTACATCGGCCACCACCAGTGTCCCTCTGGAGAGCTGGGAGGTACAACTGGGATGAGCCTTTTCAAAACGACTCCGTGTGGAGCTAACCCTGCTCCTGTTGACACCGACAGCACCAGGGCTCAATATTTAAGTGGGAGCACCCAGAACTGCATGGAGCTATTGTGAAAAGGCAGACACCCATCCTCCCGCTCCCCCTCGCCTCCGGGATGGCAGAGTGTGAGCTGCTCTCAATTCACCTCCTGAATTTCAAGTTGCTCCCAAGGAACTCAACTGAAGGCTTCAACAATTTTCCTTGAAGATACAACAACCTCACTCACCCAGAGCTGGATTCCTGTCTGAAGGAACTTCCTTCCTTCGCTGGAAGGAGTAACTCAGCTACAGCACGTCCTACCCGCCTGCAGAATTACTGCTATGACTCAATCTGTTGTAAAACATGTCAACATATACTGCATGGACAGTCATGAAAACCACCAGAAAAGTCTTTATTTGTTAATCAGGCAATCGGGTTTCCCATTTGTGCATGATGCTGTCATCCCAAACTCATGCCAATAAAAGAGAAGCCTTTACAGTCAATCACCTGGATCTTCTCTATAGCCATTCCCATAAAGCCAGAACTTCACAGCTCTTACAGTTTGTGAAACTCGGAAAAAAAAACGCGTACATGAGTCTCTTACATGATGTGGGGCATCACCAGGACTAGAGAGGATGTAACTTTGGACATAGTAGGACTCACAGCAGCTCGTAGTGTACGTTTCACAACTAGTTCTAGACGAAGGGAAGAGCAGAGCTCTCAGAGGTCCATGTGAGTTTTGGCTGCGTTAGGACTGCAAGACCAGACCCACCGGTTATAAACCACGTGATATTCCGGTAAAACATGCACTTAAACTACATTGAATTAACGGAACAAACTATAACAGGGTTTAATTGAGTTTGGTTTCCTAATCCACACACCGAAATACTGACCATTTCACAGTCCATCTCATTAACGCGTACTAACGGTCATGTGAGCCAGTTTATCTTTTATTTATGAAAAACGTAGGAATTGTGATAGATATCCTCGGAAAAATTAGTTCAAATATACAGATACTATTGTCCAGTAAGCCATTAAAGGAGTAAGAACCAAAAATCAATGATTTCCACTCCCTCCCTCCCCCCCAAAGTAAAACTAACAAACTGAACTACCTGCAGGAATTTTTCTTCATTACAGAAGCTGCGACGCGTTCAGGTGCAGTGAAATTCAGCTTTCTTGGGAAATGTTGACAGCCTCTGGTAAGTCTTTGTGGATATTCATCCCTGTCATCTCCCCGGCATTGCTGCATCCAATTTCGTCCTTATAATATATTCCGAAGTAAAACCAGCCATTCCAAATCTACAGTCATTCTTTGCTTTAAGTCAATTCACAGAACTGCTGAAAAAGTAGACATTTCTATCTAAAAGTACAAAAAGGATTTGTATAGAAGGTACTTCTCTTATACAGTTATATTACACAGCTCAAGACAGTCCCGGCAGGCTCTTCTCTCAACTGGAAGCTTCTGACTAGATAAGAAAAATTTAAAAAGTGAGTTAGTTTCATGGCAGCTCTGTATCTTGTTACAAACAGGAGCAGTTTGCGTCACTTTTTTGAGTTCTTTAGGCCTAGATTCAGAAAGCACACAGAAGCTGAATATTTCTCTCAATAAATATGAGATGAAATGCGGCGTCTGTGAGAAGTTAGATCAAATATTGGCTTTAATATAAATTCAGTGGATGGCCTAGAGCATCCAGTAATCCCAACTGCTGCAGCCCCAAATTGCACAGCCACTGCTCAGACAAAATTTCTGTGACCTCCAATGGACAAGTGCTGTGGCTTTTTGTACCTCCACTGGCCAAAGTGCTTCCTATGACAAATCAAACCTTTTCATTTGCTTTATTTTCTCCTGCCACGTTCAGTTTTATGACAAATATTTCCAAAGCAGACATCACCAATTTATTAGGATGGGTATGGCTTGTACTTTAGATTCTGGGATGTTGATAGATCAGTCTCTGTTGGCTTCCACCAAATTATATCTGGATTTGTCCCTTCAATGTCCCATCCTGATGCCCCTGAAAGCCCTCTGTGCCCTGGGTAAAGTTTATGCTGCCTGGACAAAGGGCCACCAAGGCTGTCCTTGTCCCCAGGAAGCCAGATGGTGCCAAGGGTGAGACCCACAGGCTCCGGGAGCCCCTGGCCACTGCTTGATGTGAGGGGCAAAGGCATCGTCGCTCTGGGCTGCTCAGGCCAGCAGAAATGAACATCCAGAGCTTGGGTTGGCCAATTCCCGTCTGCACCCTCAGAACTGGAATGGTTTTCTTCTCTGGGATGAATACCATGTCTTTTTCTTACTAAAGCTAGAGAGGTGACAGCTGGCGTGCGCTAAACAAATGAATCTGACTTGATATCAACGAAATCAAATCAAATGAAATCAAATCAAATCACTGAAGTATCAAACACTACACAATGAGGAAAATATTCACAGTATTGTCAAAAAACTGAAACGGTGAAAAGTGCTACAGAGCTGTGAGAGCTTAAAATTGCCATTTTCTCTGTATGAAACAGAGTCATGACCGTGTGGGTCAGCCTTTTACATCTGGGCACGTGACAGCATCTCTAAACACTGCTCTGCACCTCCCCCAAAATACCAATTGTAGGAACGAGTGAAGTCAAAAATAGTACAAGAGAAAAATGTGGACATTTTTGCATTGTAAATTGAACTAAGCTTTTATTACAAGTTAACAGAAAAGAAAAAAACCAACAAACTTGTAAAGGAAGTTGGTCTGTCATCACTTTACCAAGCATCCCTCCCAAGCTTAGACAATATTGCAATCATAGTGAAGAGCTTTCCGGCCCAATTACAATCTGGAAATACAGAGGTTTTTACCCAGAATAATGTTGTTCTTTCACACAACCATGGCAGAGCTCTTCATAAACACTAATTCCCGAAGCTTTCGTTTACTCTGCCCCTGAGGTATGTAATTACCATCACCCATTTTTATTTATAGGCCACATTTTCCTAGGACTGCAAGTTTGAACACGGTGCTTTACCTTGTATTTGGATAAGGTAGTGAAAACACCCTGTGTTTTATTAGGTGAGAACTGAGACAAATAAAATAACTCACAAGGAAAGGACTGGCGCCTTCTGGCATTCCCTCCTGTATCTCAGCCCTCTTCTCCCCACCCGAAAATATAAAAATATTATTCCTTGACAGGTGTTGACTTAAAGAAACACTAAACTCTTTTACCCAGTGTCGATGAGGTCTACCACGTTGGGTCTGGTTCCTGCTTTATTTGAGAATTTTCTTCTGTTTCTTTAATATCTGTTGAAAAAGCAGTAATGAATGAAGAAAAAGGAAACTTCTCAACCAATTTTGTTGTTATTGTTTTACTTAATCAGTAAAAAAATATGAAAATATGACAAGTATTCATTTATCATTTGCAACTGCCACCGATATGTTTATTTTCCACCTGTAGAACTGCTTCTGCATCTGTAGAAGGGCTTTTGCATTATTATATTTCAATCTGTCCAAAACAAATTTTGACCTTAGCTAATTTTTTTTCTTCAGTACCCTCTATTGCAGAGAAAGCCATTAAAATACGCTTAAAAAGAGAAATCGTATCTTGTTGGCTGAAGCATTCATCATCTTTTGATAGGGTTTTTTTTCATTTCCAGGAGACTTCATTACTTCAAAACTTGGCTTTTTCTTGTTCGCAGGGACGCTTGGAGGCAAATCAAAGAAACCTCGTGCCTGTACAGCACTACCTGTATGACCTGAAGCCTGATTTTGTTCTTTTTATAAATAGAGAATATGACGTTGAAAGGAAATTGGTTTTGCACTGAAGTTGTTTGGGAGGTTCGGGGCCAGGATAATTCACCACTGCAAAGCCAAGCCACTTCACCACACGATCGTTTTATACCTTCCAGCTTAATTCTGAAGCTATTTTGAGTTCTTTAGCAATTGCAGGCCTTTTCTCGAGATCAGCCCTCCGGTAACTAGGTCTGAATCCAGTTTGGGATGACAAACCCACATTTCTCTGTTTCTTTAAAGCCATCACTTTGAAGGCCCATAGCTAGATTTCCTCCACAGGAAGGCATTCAGGAACAACTGTCGCTCCTCCATCATCTAACAATTCTGGTGATTCCCCATGGTTTTGGTATCAGAAAGACGTTTCAGCTTTCAATAACTGTGAGCTTACACTTTGCAGCTCAGCCCTTCTGTGACTCTGAAACTTGCTTTCTTTTCGTCTTGACTGTTCCAACAGTTTATTGCAACAGGGATTAATCCATAGTCTGAGAAAGAACCTGTAACTGAGCTTGCAACAGTAGTTGTGGTTGAGCTGACGTGTCTCCGTGCCAGGGAAATGGAAGCAATGGAGACTGGAAAAGGCAATGCCCTGGAAGAGGGACATGGGAGAACGGGAGCACTGAGATCTGTTCCTTTCTCTCTTGGGGGAATCTAAGCAGGATTAGGGAAAGAACTCAAGTTGAGCGTTTTAAGCTGGCAAGTGCTGATGCTCAGCAGCCTCCATCCCAGTGCTGTTGGCTATGGTGCCATCAAGCTGCTACTGCCACATCAAGGAGCTCCTCTCAGGGCCACCTGGCACAAAGGCAGCACCCACCAAGCTGTCCCAGTCACTCAGGTCCCCTGTCCCAGCCCCGTCCAGGGCCACACTGCCCAGCTGGGCTTCAGCAGGGGCAGGCTTATGGGACACAGAGCAGACACCAGGTCCCCACTCTCGGGTCAGTTCAGAACTCCTAACACTCCAAGAACAAATGTAAAAGGTACAGGGGGGTAGAAGACCTACAGCCCCCCTGGTCTCACAGACATCAACATGTGAAAAAAGATACAACTCAAGTATATTCTTGGGCAGTAGGAAAGTTGGATGCCTTTCAGAGCTTAAGTTCACAGAATGGTCAGGTTGGAAGGGACCTCTGGAGATCATCCCGTGCAACCCCCTGCTGGAGCAGGGTCACCCAGAGCAGGTTGGACAGGAACACGTCCAGGTGGGTTTGAATGTCTCCAGAGAAGGAGACTCCACACCCTCTCTGGGCAGCCTGTTCCAGGGCTCTGCCACCCTCAAAATAAAGTTTTTCCTCAAGTTGAGATGGAATTTCCCATGTTCCAGTTTGTGCCCATTGCCCCTTGTCCTGTCACTGGGCACCACTGAGAAGAGTCTGGCCCCATCCTCTTGCCACCTGCCCTTTAGGTATTGACAAGCATTGATGGGATCCTCTCCTCAGTCTATTTTTCTCCAGGCTGAACATCCCCAGGACTCTCAGCCTTTCCTCAGCAGAGAGATGCTCCAGGCCCTCATCACCTTCATAGCCTCTGCTGGACCCGCTCCAGTAGTTCCCTGTCTTGAAGTTTTGGAAGAGCAACAACACTGCCCTGCCCCAACACACCCTCACAGTACACTCAGGCCACTATGGCATTTAAATTTCCTGATGATGGCAATCACTCATTTGCATAAATTGTGGAAACCACTGCGCTGAAAAACTAGATGCATCGCTCAGGATATGAGCAATCACTCAAAAGCCTATATATAGTCATGACTCACCAACCAAGAACAACAATTCCTAAAACTCCTTTGTAAATGTATTTGAATAACTTCTGCTGCAGAGTAGTTTTCACATGATGCAGCATGATATTAATACCCACAGAAAATTTTCTCAGGAACCAGTAAGAGCCCCTTTTTTTTGTTTTGATTGACCCGCATCCTTCAAAAAAAAATATACAACTTTGTTCAAAATGACTTAAAAGTATTTGTTGATAATAAATTAAGACAAAACACTTACCTCCTGCAGATACTTCTATTTGGCTTGGTTCAGCTGGATCTTAAATGAAAAAAACATAGTCAAATGAATATGAGCATAGCTTCAATTATATCAATCAGATAAGTATCTTAGAAAAATTAGGGGAATTAAGTTTTCCCTGAAAAAGGCATCTTCTTTTTTCTCTTATGTTCAGACTCAAATTTCTTTGGGTGAGATAAATGTGCATAACTTTTTATTGAGTCTGCAGCAAAATATAAAAAATACCCAAACATTTATTGTATTACACTACCTAACACTTTCCCTTCCGAATACGGTTCCCTGTGGAGACATCACCAAGTCCAAGCAGAACGTAACGTGCACTTGCACAGAATATACCAAGTTTGGACCAGCTCCACTGAAAACAATGAAATATAAAACTGGATTTCAAAAGGAGTCACCACTTCTGGTTAGTACTACCATCAATGGTGAGCGTGTGTATTTTGGGGGAGAATGGGAAGATGCAGAATAGAGGGCAAAGGTATTGCAAAGGTATGTTTTATTTCCGTAATGATTTTTGTATTATCATTACTGATGGATTATAGACAGACATATGCTGGGAAAGGCATTTAACCTTTTAAGTTAAGGACAGACAGACTAAAGTAAGGTCATTGACCATCAACAACCATTTTTCTCCCCTCCCATGTAAACAGAGGAGCCAATAGTTTCCTTTATGTCTATCATAAAAGTGCCTCTTACGCTTTAAATGTTTATCAAGGGCTTTCCCTTAGTTCCCCAGTTTATTTGAGTAACAGTTTATTCAGTCAATTGCAAAAGCGTTTCCTGCACTACACCAACTCGGGACGTGCATTTTTAAGAGGTCTGGGAACATTTGGTAACTGTATTGGGTCAAAAGGAAGTTGCTCAACTACACTTACTTTAATTGCTCATAGCATAAAAGCTCAGTTCTGCCTTCAGAACCCAGCCTAGCTGGGGTTACGGAGCTGTGCAGGGGGCAGAAATTCCAGCAGGACCCCATTCTGGGTCCTTATGTGTTACCTGGGCAAACCTACGGTGCCTGAACCTGGCCCAGACACACACACACACTGTGAGTTAAGCAGACATCAATAGATGGATACTGAATTGCCTTTATATATTGCCTCTACTAATCCTTCTTTTCAGCTCGCTCATCATCTGTAAAAACTCAAATGAAGGAACACGCCAGTGACACAGCCTGAAGGAAGCAGCGGCTCTTTCTATTAATTTATTAATATTTAATAAATTAATAGAAAAGTCAGCGTCGTGCACCATCTGTCAAAATCAAACGGCTCGTCGTGAGCAGTGCGTTCCCAGGACGGGACCACTAATATCAGCTGCCAACAAGGTGGGGGACTCCACACCCTGCCCCTTCTGCAAGGACACGTGCCTCACCTGGGAGCACTGGTGCTGCTGCTGGAGCTGCTGGTGGTGCCTCTGCTTCTGTTTTCTCCATCAGCTCTAAGATGAGACACCATGGCTGTTTAACTTCACAATGAAAAGGGTCCCGACACGTAACACAAGGGCAATCTTACCTCCTGACTCTGAAAACCCTGGAACTTGTCTCATGAACTTGTGACTCAGCTGCAGTTCGATACTTTTATTAGAGAAAAAACCATGCCCTGTCTTGGCTGCGAGCACCAAAAATTTCCTTGCAAGCTCTCCTGTGTTCCTCAGAGCAAGAATAAAGCATCATACCTAATAAGCTCAGAGCCTTCCAATCATTCACCTTGCAATCTATCAATATCAGATCATTCTGATAATAACTAATGGATGTGGATACTGCATAAAATCCACCTATTCCATGACCAATCTGCTCTCCAGTGATGGAAGATGATGGGATACCTGTGCTGTTCTTACTGAGGGTATTAGCTGGCCTCAGTCCCAGCACGTGTTGATGGTTATGCTGGACAGACAACAGTTTAATAGGTTCTTCCATTTCAAATTCTGTTCTCTGGAAATGCTACTACACATTTATCTGCCTGGAAGGATCCCTCTTACAAAGGGATCTCTTTCCCACCGAAGAAGGTGGCCCTAGGACTGCTGAGCAGGTCAGCGTGAGTTACCAGCTCTAATATCTTCCTGAGAAGACTTCACACTGGCAGTTGATAGACCTCAGCACGTTAACTGGAACATACTGGTGGCTGGGTGTGAATGAATGAACACGGGGTCGCTCCGGCTCAGGGGTGTAAGGCCAAACCAACAACAGCAGGTTATTTGGCCTCTGAATTTCTGATCTGACACTGGCTCAGAAAGAACATGACACAAGGGACACTAATGACAGTGTTCTGCAGTTTGTTTTTCCTGAGCAGGTCAGCGTGAGTTACCAGCTCTAATATCTTCCTGAGAAGACTTCACACTGGCAGTTGATAGACCTCAGCACGTTAACTGGAACATACTGGTGGCTGGGTGTGAATGAATGAACACGGGGTCGCTCCGGCTCAGGGGTGTAAGGCCAAACCAACAACAGCAGGTTATTTGGCCTCTGAATTTCTGATCTGACACTGGCTCAGAAAGAACATGACACAAGGGACACTAATGACAGTGTTCTGCAGTTTGTTTTTCCTCTTATACAGAAGATCCAAAAAACCAAGGCACAATTATTTTAGGCACTGAAAATACTAAGACTTTTTTTTTTTTTTCTTCCCCAAACAATGTCATTAACACGGCCAAATTGGCCACGGCACTTCAGGTAATTACACTCTGCCTCTCTAAACTGTTAGAGTTTCAGCAGGACGCAGATTTTTTCACAGGAACAGGGTTGTGAAGCTACTGGGAAGCTCTAGCTTATTAACTGCTACTGAGGTGGATCTGAACCTAAAATGTAGGCACCCCCACCTAAGTCTGCTGCTCAGTCACAGTCCTAAATCTCTTTGGGACTCTGCAGCTGAAAAATACAGAATTAATATCTTGCATTTTCACATCAAAGTTAATGCTAATCTTATAGTGTTCCATACATTTATCACACTGCTCTCAATTTAATTGCACGTGCATGTTTAGTCAGGGAATTTTAATGAGACAGTTATAGACAGAATGTAACCACTGTGGCGCCTCTGCCACTAAGCTAAAATGTAGAAAAAGAATCTTGGTAAGTTACAAAGACACATTTGCCATCAGTGTTTCATAAGTACTTACGATTGTTAATCACAAGTCCTGGAGCCTCTCTAAACTGTTAGAGTTTCAGCAGGACGCAGATTTTTTCACAGGAACAGGGTTGTGAAGCTACTGGGAAGCTCTAGCTTATTAACTGCTACTGAGGTGGATCTGAACCTAAAATGTAGGCACCCCCACCTAAGTCTGCTGCTCAGTCACAGTCCTAAATCTCTTTGGGACTCTGCAGCTGAAAAATACAGAATTAATATCTTGCATTTTCACATCAAAGTTAATGCTAATCTTATAGTGTTCCATACATTTATCACACTGCTCTCAATTTAATTGCACGTGCATGTTTAGTCAGGGAATTTTAATGAGACAGTTATAGACAGAATGTAACCACTGTGGCGCCTCTGCCACTAAGCTAAAATGTAGAAAAAGAATCTTGGTAAGTTACAAAGACACATTTGCCATCAGTGTTTCATAAGTACTTACGATTGTTAATCACAAGTCCTGGAAATGGTCTGTAAAAAAAAAAAAAAAAATAAAAAAAAAATTACTGATTCTAAACTGTACAGCATGGGGTCTCCCTCCCAAGGCAGCCTCACCTAGTGGTTCATAACAGAATTTATGCTATAAAACAAACAGAAAGTCAAAGAAACCAGAAGGAACCACCACAGCAGCTCTTGGGCACTGTGGTTTCTCCGCTAGCATCCTGAAAATTCACACAGACACAGAGAGATCTAAATCCTTCCCTCAGTCACAGCTAATTAACAAGGGTGTAACCTCTTCTTCAGAGCTCAATTAAGCAAAACTATCAAGCAGAAGTCCTCTCAGTTAGAACTCTTCATGATTAAGGGTTGAGAATTCAGACCCCTTAGTAAAATAGATTTTTAAAAATTTATCTAAATATAAATTGAAGCTTTTAGAGTCCTATGAAGCAGTCTATGATTTGAGAAACTACACAAACTGAGATTTTTATTTTCAATTTCTGAACTCCTCCTGAGTATGATTCCAAAGTAATAGGCTGCCCAGGGAGGTGTTTGAGTCACCATTCCTGGATGTGTTTAAGGGACATTTAGATGGGGTACTGAGGGACATAGTGTAGGGGAGGACTATGTGGAGTAGGGTAGATGGTTGGACTCGATGATCCCAAGGGTCTCTTCCAACCTGAATGATTCTATGATTCTATGATTCTATTCTGCTCCATGCATACAAATACACTTTGTATGTACGTGTGTGTATATACATCTATGCAAACATACACATACAAATAAAATTCACTTTTATTGTAACTAAACAATACTGTATTTTTATATATTGTTGATAAACTCATTTTACAGAAAAATCCCCATTTATCAAAGAGCTTACCTTAACTCAGGGATTTTAACACAACTGAAGTACTTTAAAAATATTAATTTTAATACTATAATATAAATATAAACATACTAGTTACTGTCAAGACCCAACAAGCTCTGGACCTGCCTCAAAGCTTGATCTGATAAATGGAGAGCAAGGCCCATAAGACTTTAGGGCTCTCAAAAGACAGCTTGCTGTAATATGTAGTATTAATAATACATCCTCTGTCATACTAAATTGGTCAGGTCCTCCAAAGGGGTACCATCTTTAGTTGTGCCATGAACATCTGGGCTTCATTTGGCCTGACATATGGTTTCCAAAGGAGCCAACATCTTCCACTATCTCAAGATATCCTTTTGCATCTCAATTTACTGGAGCTACAGGGCTGTCCTCACTGCAACTGCACGATCTAATCCACCTACCGAATGACAGTAAATTTGATGAACTCTGCCGATTCCAAAATCTTCCTCATTGAGCTGATTTCCAGGTAACTGGGAGCTTTGAACGCCACGCCGGGGGGCATCCCGTCCACCACCACGCAGCCGGGGTTGATGGTGATCTTCCTGTACGGCACTTTCACGGGGAAATTCATACCAATGGCCTCACCTACGAGAGAGGTCGTGTTTATTTTCAAGTCTACATACTTATGATGACACTGAAGAAAAAGTTCTCAAATTGTAAGATCTGAAACTACGAAAATCCACTTGACAAGTAAACCATTATAGTGTTAGATGTTATGGATTACACTCATGAACGTTACTACAAGAGTGTTAGATACAAGTCTCTGCCTCTGACAGCTCATCAAATAAAGAACCCAAAGCCTGTTTCACTAAAAAAGGTTCAAAACAGATATCTAAAAGAATAGCTACATGAAGGAAAAGAAAGCATTTCCTGCAATGTGCACGAAAGACAATTTAACACAGCACCAGTGAAGCACTTCCAGGTACAGAAACCCAGGTTGCTATTGCTGTACAACGCAATTACAAAGTAAAAGTAAAGAACCTTTTTGCTGTATATAGTTTTAAGTTGTATTTCAAGAATTACTCTAGCCCCAGGTTTCAAGAGGTGAGGACTATGAAGCCCTAAGAAGAATCATGGTTTGCCAGCAAAATAAATATTTTATATGTGTTTACCCAGAAAGAAACAGGAAGGGAAAACTTAAAGCAGCCTATACTCTTGGGATTTTTTGTTTAAAACACCAAACAACCTCCATCACTTATGAAAGATTCTTTTTGAAGTCAAAGTACAACATTCATATATAATTCTCAAACTTGGTCATTTTAATGATCATACATATCACCCACCCACTGTGATGATTCTGTAACTTCACTATGAGCAACATTACTTGCATTCACACCCATGGAAAAATGGGGAGTAAGAAGCAATTACCAAATTTCCGGCTAAAAAGATCGTTTACTTGCTCTCTCAATTGTCTGGCCTTTTCTACTTTTGACAGTCGCTCGCTTTCATCATCTGGAAGAAATTGTTAGAATAGCATCAGAATTAAACAGATCCTCCCCCAAGCTTGCTTATCCCTGCATCTTTAGTAGGTATATCTGACTGCTTTGAAATGGCACTTTGTTCCTAGTTTTAGAAGCAACACAATATTGTACAAATATACAAAAAGAGATGGTTGTTAAGAAGTCAGTGAGAAGCTTCAAAATATTTACATGACCAACGTAAGATTCACTATCATGCTAACTTATGCTCTTTGTTGACTGTACAACCAGCGTGACAACCATTTCAGTGAACCAGTGTGACTGATAGGAAAAAAATACATCAGACCAAACAAATAAAATGAAGAATATAGGCACAAAAATGAGATGAAAGCAGAGAGTATACGCACCTGGTATAGTTACTTGAATGATGTTAAGATCTTCAACACCTGCAGCTGTGTTCACCACTGTGTTTGTTGTGGTGCTTGCTGTATTGGCTATATTAGATGAATTATTCTTTCCTAAAAGTAAGAGAATGAATTTAAACAAACATTTGTAGAGAGCTGAAAATCCTGAATGTCATATATACAGAAAATATTTCAAAATAACAGATATTTGCAAAGTTTTCGAAGCAGAACCAGTTCCATATTGAAAACAGGAGCAGCTTCCAATGAGACATATTTATTGAGGGTACACACCACTCTGTCTTTCCAACCCCAGAGGAGAAAGAGAGCTGGGTTAAAGACAAGCTTCATCTTTACCTAGCTGGTTTTCTAAAAAGGGTGTTATGAAAAGGCAAAAAAGAGTATGTGAAGCATGTATTTTGGCATTTTTATTAACAGATAAATGACAGCACTTGCAGTTAATTCAGTCACACCCACTGATCCGTGTGTTCACTGTGTGCATTCACAAAAGAAATCCCTTACAGTTGGATTTGTGAGCCACACTGGCCAGTGGCACAAACTAGCAGAGTTCAAGTAACTCAGAAGAGTTTTGCCAACCCATAGTCACAGATAATAATATGACTCAAAACATTTAATCTGTGACAATTTTCTCCTGGCTATCTGCACTCCGATCTGTGGAGCACTTGTCATTTAGATGAGCTACATATTAGGAGCAAATAATTTACCTGAATTACTTCTGTGACTCACACATTACTTGTTACACTTGGATAAAAGGTAGTAAAGAGTATGTTAGAGGCATGATTATTGTGAGTAAGTTAAAAAATGTAATAGTCCTTTGCTAAAGCTATATAAACTGTAACTGGCAAGTACTTTTCCCAACTTAAAAGCAAACAAGCAGACAAACAGACAAACCACAACGTAGAATGAATCTTTCAGGAATTCATTAGCACCATGCAGCTCTCCTGATTTACATTTCATCCTGGTATCTAGAACGTTAAGCAGTTGCAAAACTCACTTTGGGGGCTCATAGCAGAACTTTCCTTAACAGCTGCCTCAAACATCTCAGGCCTGCAAACAGATTAGAACATTTCATGTACAGTAATAAAATCACATTCATCAATATTAAAAAAAATGCAGTTTTCTAATATTAATTTGTTAAAAGACAGGAACTAAGTGATATCCTCTCAGCCAAACAGTCATTCAGGAATGCAACAGCTGAGAGGCTCCACAACTTCTCTTGTCACTGTTTCTACACTGGTACACAGGTATCTAAACCTATTCTAGAGGAGAAAAATAAATTCTTATAACCCCAAATATATAAATCCCCAGTTCTCAGCTCTTAGTACACTGCCAGCAAGTTTTATGAGTAACCCATAACTGCTCCATGCAGTAGGGACTAAACCAGTGATGTCATAACTGAAATGGGGTAAGAAACTGGGTCTTGCTCTTCCCCGCAAATACGGTTGTGAGTGTCCTTCAGAACAAAGAGATTACCATATCTTGCTCCACCTCTACAAGAGCTTTCCAACCATAACCTCATTTAATAAAAATAGTGTGTATTTTATACATTAATCTAGCAACTGGGCCACACAATTTCATTTTTTGGTCTGCCTTTCAACCCTCATAGAGTAGATTATCAAAGACATATGGAAGCCTTACTTCTTAATAATGAATTTTATCTTAGCTTTGTTTCTCAGGATCTTCTCTAGCCTTGGAATTCCAAACGTGGAAGGTCGGCGGAACGGCACCCCGTCGGGGAGTCCCTCCACGTAGAACACCTCCGGGAAGGATTCAAACAATGCAAATGGCACCTTCACTGGTTTCGTCAGCCCCAGAGCTTCCCCTGAAAAGACAACAAAACAAATAAGCTCCCAGCTACATAACGGTTGTGTATATAAAAAGGAAAACCTCAGGGATAAACAGTATATAATAGCTGGCACATACATAGTAGATTAGGTGGAACCAGCAGGCTTTGCCTTTTTTGGTGACAGCTGTGAGTAGGCAGGAAGAAAATTAACAGTCTCAAACATAACTCATTCTGTTGCACTAAATCTGATCATAATTCGCAGTTGAAAATTAATAATTTGCAGCCAGCTCATGCCACCAGCTTGGTCTGCACACAAGGCTGTCCCATTCGTACTCCGCTTTGTCACAGGCACCGTATTCTGTCTCTGTCTCTGCCAGAGAGTAGCACTGAGGGTGGGTGACATTAGTGTTCTTGTTCCAAAAACTGCACTCAGAAGAGTAATAAGAAGTCACCACTTCCAAAAGTCATTAACTTCCCAACAGCCTGCACCAGAAGAAGCTCATTAACTTCCCAACAGCCTGCACCAGAAGGGAGAACATGGTGCTGGGAGAACATCTCTCCAGACACCACCCATACCATATCGAGCCAGCCAGGGGCTGAATTCATAAAAACTCCCATTCATAAGCAGAGTTAAGAAAACCCAAAAAACTGTGCCAGGCTGTGGGGTCACTATGTCTCCGAGTCATTAAAGAAGCGGTAACCCAACCACAACTTCTCCATTTCCCAACCCAAATAAAATAACTAGTGGAAACGTGACACAGAATTGCAAGCAACCGACGTGAGAATGAACTCAAACGAGGAATTTCTAGAGTACTCAAGGACTGCAGGACTTTTGGAATAAACATATATATCTATTATACATCTAACTGCATGTTCCTAAGAAAGACTTCGTAATAAAAAAGAACTAATAAACTTACCGCATTTTTCATTAAAAAGATTTTCGACTTTCTGTTTTAAGTCAGTAATTTTGGCATTCCACGCCTCTGCCAGGAAGAAATTGGAAGAATTAAATCAAGACATGCATAATAAATCAGTCCTCGAAGACTATTCTAATAAATGTTTAATAAATTATTATGCTTGATAACCGATTTACTACGACAGTAGAGCAAAATGGCTTTCACTCTGCAAACAGCCCTGCAACGTTGGGCTGCAGTCTGAACACGTCCCCATCAACCCTCATTTTCCTAAAGCTTTGAAAGATACTGCTACTAGATAAAGCACGGGTGATTAAAACTGAAGTTAATCCAAGAGTGATCCAAATTTACTATATCAGGCAACATAAAATTGACTCATCTGAACCAGCACCCAAAATAGAGGCAGAAAGTTCTTCCTATGTTCAGTGACGTAGCCCTGGGACACCCACCTCTCTCTCGAGAGCTACAAGCTCTGGGAGGATTTCAGCTTCACTGGGTAAGATTAAACACCCACCGAGCTAATTATTTTGTGTCTGAAAGTGATCAGTGGCAATTCTTAAACCAGTTTACTTGTGGCTGCAGTGAGTGGTCTGTAGCTGGTTTACAAAACTAAAAACTCAGTTGAAAGTTTAAAAAATGTGCAAACTAAAGCTTAAAAAAAGCCTACCTCCAGTAATAACAAGCAAGTGCAATAAAACTGTACACAACTGTGAATGCGAATACTGCCCAAGCCAAAAGGAGCAGTCATACCAAATTTTAAACTGAAAGAGGGGAGATTTACATTAGATATTTGAAGAGATTTTTCATTCTGAGGGTGGTGAGAGCCTGGCCCAGGTTGCCCAGAGAAGCTGTGGCTGCCCCATCCCTGGAGGGGTTCAAGGGCAGGTTGGAGGGGGTTTGGAGCAACCTGGTCTGGTGGGAGGTGTCCCTGCCCAGGGCAGGGGGGTGGAACTAGATGATCTTCAAGGTCCCTTCCAACTCTTACCATTCTATGACTCTATAAATCAGTATCTTATATTCATTCTAAACTGGCTCAGTAGGAGTAAAGAATTCCTTTGTTTCATTTCTTATGACCATATCATCAGTAGGAGTAAAGAATTCCTTTGTTTCATCTCTTATGACCACATCACTAAAAAGCAAGCATGGGGGATAAATGCAAAAAAGCAAGTAACAACAAACTCCAATATAAATATAAGCAAATAATATCAGAATGTAAGGATGCTAAAAAAGCAAGTAACAACAAACTCCTATATAAATATAAACAAATAATCTCAGAATGTAAGGATGCAGAAAAAAAGGTTTCATGAGATTCAGGAACTGCTTACAGTTACTGCCCACAGTTACTCTGAATACAGTTGTAAGGATGCTGAAAAAAAGGTTTCATGAGATTCAGGAACTGCTCACAGTTACTGCTCACAGTTACTCTGAATACAGTCATTCATCTCCCCTGACTACGAGGAATTTGGGTGGCAAATTTGACCCAGCTTTCAATGCAGAGATTCCTGTGCTGCAGCACTGCACAGACAGGCCCGGTCCTCCACGGCTAAAAAGCTCCAGCCCAATGCTCATGAACACAGCTCCATGGCTTCCAGTCCTGTCTGGCTTTTCCTTTACTGGTTTTCTAGAACTGGTGAGGTCTATAATGGTGATCTTGCAAACTTCTCTCCAGTAAATCATTCCTTAGTGATATTTGTTCGGATCCTTCCTAGTCCCTCTGTTCCACTCGGGCACCTCTGCAGGGTGATGCTCAGCATCTCAAGTTTGTGGAGCCCTTATTAAGCTCGTGCCCAGTATCAGATCTCAGCTGGGTTCGTGCACTCTGGTGGTACTGGGCACCAGAGAAGTCCTTCAAGGATCTGCAGCACCATGAAATATCATCATGGCAAAAGACTAAAGGGATAGATTCTGAATCCAAGTTAATAAGCTGCAATGGACCTGTGCTGCATTTGTACAGCATCCTCCACACAGCATCCAGGATTTCTCCAATGAGGATTATTCTACATGATGAAGAACCGAACGTACATGAAAACAACAACTTCAGCCATTCACTAACTGTAGAATAAAACACGAACTCAAAATGTCTCTGATATGTAACCATCAGAGATTTCAATACCATCATTAGTAAATTGCATGTGTGCTTATTCCCACAATATTTACCAAAAGAGAACTCTCTTCCTCGTGGCTTGAAAGTTATATTGGACCCATTGGTTTGAGAATTAGTTCGCACATCTGTTGTTTGTGACTTATTAGGACCTGTAAAAAGAGATTACATATGGACATGCAGAGAGCAGAAGCAAGGCATCATATGAAACAAACAACACCTCAAAATTGATTACCAGAGAAAACTTAAATTCTCAATCGAGACTAGAATAAAAAACCCCTAAAGAAGTTCTTCTAAGGTTGTATTTAAGCATTTGAAACTACTGCTCACATCTGTCATTTCTCTGGTCAGGACTACACCAGTTCCCACACATCTGCCTGGAATAAGAGGCCCAAGTAAACTGTCAAACACTCACATTCTACATAACCATCACCTACAGAAACAAAAATAAAACTGTTTCTATATTGAAACGTATCTGAGCTCTGAAATGAAACCAAGTTTGGTACATGAGGTGCATGCATATGTTAATTATGGGCTATGAAAACTGAGAAGAACAGAAGAAAACACTAGAAGAATAGAACAGAAGAGCAGTAGAAGAATATTTAATGATATTTCTTCCATACCTTCTTCAACAGTAACTTCAATCTCTGGAACATTTGAATTGCCTGCAGGACTTTGTGACCTTTTTGAACTCTTTGGACTCATTGCTGGAAGTCAATATAACACAAGCTGTAATGCACAAACCCTCTATAATGTATATTCTACACAGCTAAGGAAAAGAACCAGCTGGATTCTGAAAATTCCAACAGCCTGAATCACTTGTGTCAGTTATACTAAGTACAGTCTGCTTTGTAAATGCTGAGCAACACAGTGATGCTCACAGCCTTAAAAAGCAGGTTGAACACTCTCAAACCAGGCAGGTATCTCACTTAAACTTTCACTCCACTAACTCAGAAGAGAAGCCTTTGTCCTCTCTAAGTGTGAGGAAAAGCTTTGGTAAATAAATAACAAAACTATTAACTTCTGAATTTATTATAGACATCTTAAAACTTAAATGACTTCCTTTTTTATTATTTTCTTCAGAAATTTCATTGTTAATTTATTTAGTTCACTGCTATAAGTTAAATATATTTTAGGCCATTAACAGCAAAATAAAAGTTGTAGAAATTGGGTAAATTCCATTTTCTATATTGGAATAGTCTTAAGTAAAAAAAAAGTAGGTAAATTTATGTTTTGAGTAACTTTCAAATAATAGCAGATTTAGAGGCTACATAAGCTAGCTCATCTTAAGTAATGCCCTTTGTTTGTAACACCTGTATTTTTAAACCACAAAGACCTCTCAGTCTGCTAAGGGAGCAGAAAGCAAGTATTACCAATTGATACCAGCAAATAATACTTAATTGTTTACCTCTTGTGTTTATTTTACTCGCCAGTCCTGGGGGCAAATAGGAAGTGACAAGCTCAGGCCTAAAAGATGAGAATAAAATCCAATCAATTACACATGTAAGAAAAAATACAGCAAAATGTTACAAGTTTCTTGGAATTCAGCAGAGTTCAAATTCCCAAAACATGAGATCTCTGTAATAAAATTCTTCTAGAAGCATCTGGTGTGATTCTGCATCTACTATAACCACAGAGAGTTAGAAAATATAACTACATTTTCTACTCTAATTTTCGTCTGCGTTTATTTCAAGCAAAAAGAAAACAAAAAGGAGGAAAAAAAAGGAAAAAACCCTTCCAGGTACAAAACCATTTTCCCCCGTGATCCTTGATGCATGAGACACACAATTTATATAACTCTATAAATCTAATAAAGAAGGCATATCCTTTTATGAGATAAAACATACGTGCAAAATGTTCTTCTTGTTTCACGGAAACAGAATTTAAGTAGCATTTAAAATCTATAGTTGTTGGGAAGAAAATCACGTAAAATTGAGGGTAAAAATAACTGAATTATAAACCTACTTTTTAACAACAAACTTGATTTTGCCACTCCCTCGGACAATCCTTTCAAGGCGTGGAATTCCAAACCAGGTGGGACTACGGAAGGGGATTCCTTCTGGCAAGCCCTCGACGTACAAGTACTCAGGGTTCGACTCAAATACAGGATAGGGAACTTTCACTGCCTCTGAAAGCCCCAGAGCTTGGGCTGAAAAAAGAGATTTAATGATATTTTATACACTCAAATGGGTGGTATTTTTCTCTCAAGTGATTTTAAGAAGCTTGGCTGACAGAAGCTCTGCTACTCAGAGATAATTAAAAAGCCCAAGAGAAGTATTTAAATAGATTTTCTATTATTTTCTGTAGAATAATTGCAAATGGCAACTCTGTCCATCTTGTTACAGATAACACATAAGTCTGCAATGCCTAATATTTTCTTCTAAGAACTGTCTTCACCCAGAAGCCTTTTGTGCATATACCATCTGGCCCACAGCTGGAAAAACTCCAGCTAAGGATGTTGTTATAAAGTCATTCATGTCAGGGAAGAGTCAGTAAAAAGTAAGTGAGAGAAGCCAACATTTCCACATCTGACCTAGCACGTTTCTGATGTTTAAATAAGCATAGTAAAATTTAAAATTCTTTTTTCAGACATGTTTTAAAACACAGCAACGTTATAAAACAGTTCCATTTAACATGTAACTTACCAAACTTTGTATTAAATATCTCTTCTACCTGCTTTCTTAGCTTTGTGATCCTGATGTTCCAATCTTCTTTGACTGAAAGGCAGAAACGGGTATGTCAGAGTATTACCCAGTTGTAGATAAAGAGGTACATTCAAACACAAAAGGCAGAAACGGGTATGTCAGAGTATTACGCAGTTCTAGATAAAGAGGTACATTTAAACACATTTTTTTTTTCAACACAAGAACTTGTAAACTATGAACAAAATCACATCTGAGTAGACAAGGACACACAACGAGTAACGATTATTAATGGCATCTGAAATGATACACGTAATTCCCTCTGCATAATGGAAAATCTGTTTAAATGTAGTTACAAATTTCAAACATTGCCCCAAGAGGGAGAACCTGTTCTTCAGAACCTTTAGAAGCAGGAAGGAATTTTTCTAGTGGCTCTCACAAAGTTGAAATTAATTAACCATAATGCATAAGAACAATAGTCCTTAGAACAGAAGATGGGAATGTAGAGGGTGCTTTGCTAAACATTTTGATTAGCATAAAAAAAATCATCTTCAATCTTCTTCTCTATTACAAATAAAAGTAAATTATAGGAGTGCCAGCCAGAGCAGACAATTTGTAGCTCAGGTGGAGAAGAAAGCAAAGGACACTGTCAGCAATAAAAAGCATTCCTTTTCTGACAAACAGCATAACTCAATTACTTTTCATCATAACCCACAAATAACAATTAACTGCTACTGAGCTAATACCATTCAGGGTTATGGAAAGCATGCATGATGGAAACTATACAGATTGTTTTTGTTTCCAAATAATCTTTTTGACTAACAAATTACCTGACCTTCTTTATTTCTAGCTTCTTATACTGTCAAGGCAAGATGCGTTCGTATTTTTGCAATCTGGCTTACTAATTTGATAGATTTCACAGGTATTTAACACCCACGTATGTCCATACTTACTCACAGGCTGTAGTCTCGTTAGCAAGGAATTAGACTGACTAATATAGTTTAAAAAATTAAAGCGTTGTTTGCAGGCTATCTGTTGAGATCACCGAATTATTCCTTTGCAAGTGACATTTTGCTTAAAATCTAAAGTTTGCTAATATTCCCTAGCACCATAAAGTACTGCACCTGCAGTAAGAGATAGTCAGCCTTTGCCTGGGAAAATGGTTTTCCCGGAGCTCTAAAATTGGGAGGTTTAGAGGACATTTGTTGCGTTTCCCTGATTGACACCAAACCCTGGGTGAGCTTTGTGGGTGCTGGTAATACCAGACTCACCTAAAAGCCACTGAAGAATATAACTAGTGGAAAAAAAAAAAAAAAAAAAAAGTTATTCTGAAGGTTCAAATACTCTGAGTTTTAAGAATCAAGGCCACTGCATGGCAGTTCTTTCAGAAAGAGGATTTTATTAGCTGGGTTTTTACTACTGTTGCTGTCACTGGCACCTGCTGTCATTACTTCATGGTCAAATTGTCAGTTATTTTGTCAAATTTCCCAACAACTGGAGTTTTGGTAACAAACCAAACCAATCACCTGTCTTTTCTTTCCACTCCACATAGAACACAGCCTTTTCTAGTGAGCTACCCTCTTGCTGAATACAAGTATTTTCCTAATATCCAAGCAAAACCCACTGTACGTTGTGATGACATAAGATTACATGACCATTAAATCATATTCTTTCCTTTTTTTTTTCCTGCTGAGAGCTCAACACAATTATTTCCTGAAGCTGCAGCTTATTTATCTGGTGAAATGCGTGTGGGGAAAAACCCTGGCAAGCCCTGGGTTGGGTTTGTGTTATTACTACCAGCAGCTTCATGCTCTGGACCATACACTGCCATAGCAAGAAAGCATCTAACACCAATTTAGAACATCTGATTGTCTCAGGAAATAAAAAAAATAATCTGGATTCTCTTGCTGTGTTGAAGGCACTTCAAGCTCCCAAGAAGTCATTACAATTCCTTACCACCAGAGGCCTGAAAAAAGCCCACCAGAGGCCTGAAAAAAGCCCACCAGAGTCAGCTGTGAAAGGCTGAGGGGCTCCAGAGCTTTGATTCTGGCCAGGAAAGTAATTCCTGTTCTCCCGGGCTGTGCAGGTGATCCAAAGAAAGCTGGACTGCACCACAGCCCAGAGAGCCGTCCACCTTCATCATCAATTACTCCTTTTCAGACCTCACGAAGAGCGTGTGGGCACGCTCATCATGGAAGGGTGACTACTCCTTGAAAAATGTCACATTGATCCAAATCTGTGTCCCCACCAAGCCCTTCCCTTCCCACCTGGAGACAGCACCCATCTTACCTGGGGTGTTCGACGTGGGCTGAATCACTTCGGGTGAAGTCAGAGTGAGCAGCTCCGGTCTGCAACCAGAAAACGAAAAATGTACCCATTCTTGACACAAATTAAGAACTACATACTTATGACATGAATTAGAAAAGTCTGGATTTTTCTATTCTGTATTTCACACTTGTGAAAATACTACAAAGATCTTTTAAAAGACTCATCTGTATTGCAAATAACCACTTTATAATGCAGAATATTTAATCTGCTTATTTGGTAACTAGAGAGCGAAAGCTTCATGTCTTAATGACACTTGTGAAAATACTACAAAGATCTTTTAGAAGACTTGTCTGGCTTGCAAATAACCACTTCATAATGCAGAATATTTAATCTGCTTATTTGGTAACTAGAGAGCGAAAGCTTCATGTCTTAATGAAACCAAGTGCTTGATTAGACAGTGTTTGTTTGGTGAAACCAAGTGCTTGATTAGACAGTGTTTGGCCTTTTTTTTAAAAAAAAACAAAACAAACCCAACCCAACCAAATACCAGTTTTTTAAAAAAAAACAAAACAAAACAAACCCAACCAAATACCAACTTTAGGCATTAAGACCAAACACTTACCTTTTGATTACAAATTTTATTCTGTTGCCCACTTGAATGATTTTTTCAAGGCGAGGGATCCCATACCAGGAGGGACTCCTAAAGGGGATGTTCTCTGGCAGCCCTTCAACATAGAGGTCAGTAGGATGGGCCTCAAACGTCTGGTAGGGAACAGCTTTGGGCTCGGTGCTCCCCATGGCCTCGGCTGATAGAACAAAACACATCCAGAGACTGCACATCAAACCACTTGGCCATCAACCTTAACTAAAATCCAACTAAGCTACCACATCTTCAGACAGTTGCAGTCATGATCTTTGGACCTGGGACAATGCAGGGCAACTAAACCCAACGGATTCCCAGTCTCAGCACATCAAAACAACAAACATTCACCACATGGTATCACGGTGCTACCGAGCAGCCACGATGCTTGACTGAAGATTGCTGGGTTCCTCACTGGGGCATAATACAGTGATTTTATACAAAGCTTTTAATAGAGCATCATGCAACATTTTATTCTAGCTCTTATGAAGTTAACTTTTCTTTTTTAATATTGGGGAGAACATAAAAATTCACTCAGAAATGTTATAATACTAATTTTAATAATACTGCAATGGATATAAATAAGTAAATGGTTTTATTCAGCATCAAAGAAAAGAAATCCAAATAGGAAGGAACTGAACAATTAGAAGAGCTGTACGTATAAGATTTATAAATTTTTTTAACTCTGAATTTACCTTGTTGTATAAGCAGTACATCTCAACTACTATGATTTTCAACATTTGAACAAACTGATCAAAGGTCTCATTCATGTAGATGTTCAAAGGAAATAATGAAAGCAACCTTCAAGAAATATGAAGCCATAAAAGAAAAGAAAATAATAATACTGTACTCACCAAACTTTTTACAGAAGAGTTGGTCTACCATCTTTCTGAGTTTGGTGATTCTGGCATACCACTCCTCTTTCACTGTATGAGAGTGACACAGAACAAAGACAACATTTCCTAATTATTTTGGTTATATTTCCAGTTATTCAGTTTATAGTGGGCATAACCATCCTGCATTTTCAGTGTCCTGGTTTGAGGATCTGCTTCCTCTGAGGACAGAGCCACTCATCGTCTTTTACATCATTTATGACTTTAAATTATGATTGTTATATTAATACTGCAAGCTGTGTATTAAGATCTGACCCGATCTGCAGAGGGTCTGGGTGATTAGAAACCACAGGTTGTATTCTAAATCCTGTATTATGCTACTTATAAATTGTGCTACATGGATTCTTCTCCTAGAAATCCTGGGCCGTTCTGCTTTGTCTTGGAGCTGGTATCAGTCTTCTCAGGGCTTCGGGGCTTCGGTCATTTCATAGAACCTTCCTGACCAAGCTGTTTCCCACAGGAACATGGATGCAAAGTGTCTTTTCTTCTGCCAGTCAAAACACAACTTCCCTGCCCGTCCCATTGCTCTCCTGCTGGGAGAGAAGCCAGCAGGGGCTGTGGAGACAAGCAGCTGGGAGCAGGGCCTGGTGCGACACAGCTCACTCTCTCCTGAGGTGGCAGCAGACATGAGGAGGGTCTGAGGAGCCTCAAGTTGCCCCAGGGAAGGTTCAGATTGGATGTTAGGAGAAATTCCTTCACCAAAAGGGTTGTCAAGCACTAGAATCATAGAATTGTCTAGGCAGGAAGGGACCTCCAAAGGTCATCTAGTCCAACCCCCCCGCAGTCAGCAGGGACACCCCCAACTAGACCAGGTTGCCCAGGGCCTCGTCGAGCCTCACCTTGAATATCTCCAGGGATGGGGCCTCAACCACCTCCCTGGGCAACCTGTTCCAGTGCTCCACCACCCTCACAGTGAAGAACCCTCTCCTAATCTCCAATCTAAATCTGCTCCCCTCCAGCTTAAAGCCATTGCCCCTCGTCCCGTCACTACAGGCCTTTGTAAACAGGCTCTCCCCAGCCTTCCTGTAGCCCTCCTCAGGTACTGGAAGGCCGCTATTAGGTCTCCCCAGAGACTCCTCTTCTCCAGGCTGAACAACCCCAGCTCCCTCAGCCTGTCCTCGTAGCAGAGGTGCTCCAACCCCCTGATCATCCTTGTGGCCCTCCTCTGGACCTGCTCCACCAGGTCCATATCTTTCCTCTATTGAGGGCTCCAGACCTGCACACAATACTCCAGGTGAGGTCTCACCAGAGCAGAGTAAAGCTGAAGAATCCTCTCTCTGGACCTGCTGGCAATGCAGCTTTTGATGCAGCCCAGGATGGGACTGGCCTTCTGGGCTGCAAGTGCCCACTGCCTGCTCATGTCCAGCTTCTTGTCCACCAGCACCCCCAAGTCCCTTTCCTCAGGGAAAGGTTCAGTGGGACATGAGGGACATGGTTCAGTAGTGGCTTTCGTAGTGTTAAGCTAATGGTTGGACTTGATCATCTTAAAGGTCCCTTCCAAACTAAACACTTTTATGACTCTGTAAGACGATGAGCTACTGAGAGATGAGGAATCCAAACAGAGGGAGAGGAAAATGGAAGGAAATGAGGCTCAGACAGCTCCTGTCTTCTGAGCTGTGTTCCCTGAGACATTATCAACAGCTTCCACAGACATTCTCTTCTCTCAGAAGTAACACAGAGGTCACACATGAATACATAATCATTACAAATTAGTGAAAACAAGCATCGTAAAGTGACTGTTTGTAATACTGTGCCATCAAAATGGGTTATCACTAGTTTTCTTAGCTACAAGGGTTTTCCAGGATATGTAATGTACCTGCTTTGTCTTCATAATCAGTATAACCACATTAAATACAACCAAAAAAAAAACAGAGAAAAGGGGTAATTTAAAAACCCACATGAGAGTACAGTTAAGTTTAAGACTCAGTCATTAGCCTACCTGCTATTTTTGTAGTCAAATCTGATGCTCAGAGGAACAGTACGTTATTAAGACTCAAGACACTAAGTTAGCTTATACTGCAGGAAAAGTTTAATTCCTACACATGTTAAAGTGGTATCCTTATAACATAATTTCTTTGCTTAATTTAGATCCTTAACATTCGCTTTCAGTACAGCCTTTTATATACTTTTTACAACAGAAGACTATGAGTATATAATACAACATAATGGTGCTGCAGTAGTGCAGATACTACCATTTATATCCTTGTGTCCCTGTCTGCACTAAGAATTTCTCTGGTATTATGAAAAATTCACAGTTCACCCAGGCTGAGGTTGCCAGTTAGAATTTTGAGGTTGGGAGCAATTTGTTTGCTACCATTGGTTCAGGCACACAAGCTTTCAGCACTCGGCTAAATTGGACAATTTGGAAAAAAATGCCCTGAAGCCAAGAGACGTTAAAATACAACTGGAGAAAAAAACAAGTCCAAAAAAGTAATCGACCAACTATCGCCCGTGCGAAGGCACAATTCTTCCTTTTTTCCATTCTAAACTTTTTCTTACAACTTGAGGGGAAATGAATTCATGGGTGCAACTCCAATAGAACCCTGTTCCTGTAGCCTTGTTTTCACATGGTCATTTTTGTTACCCTTGGCTGGGTGCTCATGGAGACAAACCATGTAAGAGCATCTGCTGAAAAGTATTACTGATGGCAGAAGGGGTTAGATTGTGTTGCCTTTGCACCGCTACATGAAAATGGAGTCCCATCATCCGAGCAAGCCAGATGCTGCAATCATAAACGTCACTATAACCAGTATGTTCATTACTGCATTTCTTTTAATCTCATTTTGGCAAATACCACATATAAGCAATTATTCCATGATACAGACAGTTCCCTACCCAGTAAACTCTATCAGCTATGGAAACTACTGCCTTTTTTCTGTATCTCAACAGACTGACACTCATTGGTTTTCCTTCTGTCCAGCTGAATCAAACCAGTTGACAGTGTGTAGATTAGTAACACCAGCTTGGAGAGCCAGTGGAAAATTCCTGTCACTTGATAGCTAACGAAATTTCAAAACAGGAAGAATTATTTGCAATGAGTTATTAGTAAAAGGAAATGGTAGCCACCACTATGACTGACAAATAGGAAATCATACTGTACTTGTACAACTCACACGTCTGAAGACCTACCTCCTGCAACCGGTTTGTCCAATGGCACATCTTCCCGTGTTGAATTCAAAAGCTCATGCCTGAAAGAGTGAAGATACACGCTTCAACAGTGACATAAGCTTGGATAAACCAGAAATTACAGCATACAGTTACAGGCTCTGTAGCAAATACAAGTTACCAGTGAAGGATCAGGAAGAAAAATACAGGGAACATCCCCAACATTAAATTCTAATTAACACCAAAGCATTATATGAGCTGGTTAGAACCCTACTGCTTGATACCCGTATCTACCTGAGCCGTACCATTTCATGGTAACACACACATTACATGAAAATTATCTCTGAGGTCTAAGATGCACGTCAACAGAAACAAAGATTCAAATAAAAAATTTAACCTTTAAAAATGTAAATCTCAAAGCAGACATTTTCACTTCCAAAATACATCCAGTTTTATCCATATTAGCACAACAAAAAACCTAAAAATTCTGACATTTCTCACGGAGCTGAAGCTGAATGATGTTCTGATGAACAGCATAAATTAATTACTGTTAACAACTCAGACAAATTTGACAATGGCAGGTGCCAGCATTGCATAAATATTAAAATCTGCACACAGTGTCTGATTTCAAGCGAGTGCAAAAGGTAGATCTGTCTGAAGCAAAGCCCCAAACTGGAAAAGGTCAAAATCCACCTGGTACCAAAGCTGTGTGTGGGTCTCCTACAGCACTGGATCTCCAAGAGCCCCCCACCTCTGAGATCCAGCACCCAGCATCTCTCCCTGCACACCCTGACTTCAGGCTCCATCCAGGCTCCCTTCCAATGCCATCTGCCTTTGTGGCAATGTTCAGGTTCTTCTAAGAAAGCCACAAAGGCAAGAAAAGAGAAGGAGAAAAAGGAGGCCAGAACATCTAATGGGTCTCATGTCTCCACTTTAAAGGCAGACGATGCTCTGCCAGGCTACCTACGGGAGGCAAATGAGCCCTCAAGCAGCTCCTACATACATCTAAGGTCTTCCTTCATGTGAGCTCTCTGATCTACCTCCAGACACACCAAGGACATGCATCCAACTAAGTCACAGGAACCAGCACCTATTTTGGCCTTAAGCCTGCCCTGGAAGATGCTATATACAGACGTGGCCATAGACGCCTCCATACAGCATTCCAGCAAAATAAAAGTTCAACTGAAATTTAGGCCAGGATCCTCAGATAGCATAGAATATCCTCAAGTCTATGGCTTTCAACATGTATTCCAGCCAGAATCCAGAGATTAAAACAGTACAAAGAGATCTGACCATGAGAAGAAGTCCATAATATTGAAGAGATCTACCCAGATGTTTCCAGATCTATTCTACGTTGGCAGAAATGAGTTTGGAAGTTCTTGATAAATGAATAAAATGAAGCAGCACGGAGCCAGAAGAAAACACTAAGTAATACAGGGACAAAAATGCAAAATTCCTTACTTTTTGATCACAAACCGGATCCGCTCCTTTGCTAGAAGTATCCTCTCGAGCCGGGGAATGCCGTACGTGGATGGCCGCCTGAAGGGAATTCCTTCTGGCAGCCCTTCCACATATAAGTCTTCAACATGAGACTGGAAGAGTGGGTATGGGATAGACACGGGACCTTTTGCTTTGATGGCTTGAGCTTTAGGAAAAAAGGAGAATTAAAACATCAGACCGCTTGTAGCTCTACTCACACTATCTGTTTGATATCACTCTGAAAGCACTGAAATCAGTAGAGAGGCAATAACCCCCTCAGCACATTTAAACATTCAAGCATTCCTATTTATGGGGGTTTGGTTTTGTTTTACAGCAAAATCACTCTAATTCACAGTAAACAAGCTGCAGACCTGCATGCATATGTGGAGTCTCCTCTTTTCTGTTTACTCTGTAAACACTTAATAACAGACACTGCACCTGCTACAGTGAAGTTTCACAGTATTTTGGTTTTGTTTAATAGCACATTTTGAAAGATGAAATTATCCAGGCTTAATTATAAACCTAACATGTTTCAGTTCATTAGCTCTGTTTATTATTGTTTGTTTCTACTATTGAGTGACAAGAGTCATTAATGCCCTGGGGCACACACCCCTGCTTTTGAGCGAATTTCCCAAAGCTTTGGTCCACTTCAGAAATCCAAGGAATCACGAATGAAATAAACAATACACTTCTAACACCACCGAAAAAAAGCACGGCCCTACTAATGGAATCTTTGAAGGAAATGAAAAGCAAATAACAGATTCACCCACTGTAGGAAAATAACCTCAATGTATTTCTTTAAGGTATGAGGACGATAATCCCAGCAATACCCCCATCAGGCTGGCAAACACGGGAGAATGGCGTAAGGGTTTGCAAATACCAAGAGGGCTTAATTTCTTTATACTCACGAGGGTACGTTAATTTTGTAGGCCATGCAACAAGAATTCTCTATTACCATCTGACTGGTCTGCAAATAGTTTGGTACCTTCTGTTGTTTTGCTATGGAAATCAGATGCAAAAAAATTATTTGAGGAGAGAAAAGGCCAAGCTGAGGCCAAATTAAAAGTACGGCGATGTTTTGGCAGGGTTTCTGAAAGCAAAACTACTCAGGGCACCTTTTCAAGCAACTTAATGTTAACACAGAAGTGGCAGTGGTTTGGACATCAGCGTACACAAAACTCTTACATTAACCCACAAATTCATAGAATCACAGAATGGTTTAGGTTGGAAGGGATCTTAAACCTCATCTAGTTCCAACCTCTCCACCCCTGGAGGGGTTCAAGGCCAGGTTGGACGGGGCTTGGAGCAACCTGGTCTGGTGGGAGGTGTCCCTGCCCAGGGCAGGGGGTTGGCACCAGCTGATCTTTAAGGTCCCTTCCAACCCAAACCATTCTATGATTCTAAGCCAACAAATCTGAGGAGAATTCTAGGAGTTCTGGACATCCATAACTTATTTCAGTAAACTGGAAATTGCACACTCATGCAGACAGGAAGAATTGGAATCTGAGATGGATTTGGTTTGTGAATCAATGAAATGTTGTCATCCACAGGGAAAAAAGAGATCATTTAATACCATCTGGCCCGCTATGGGAAGTCAGGAATAGCTCTGTGTTCAACAGACTCCACAGGAGATTTTTAGGCTGGCAATGAGCAAACACCAAAACCAAAATTAAAGCAATTCACCAAGAATGACACTCCTTTCTAGAGCAATTAAAATACCGAGAATCAGATTCTGAACTATTTTTACTTGGTGTGAGTTGCTTTCAGTGGGCTGTTTAAATGTCAGCTGGTAATCACACCCAAAACACGTAATAACACCGACATCACAAAGTCCGTTCTGAAATAACTTCCACTTTTCACAGCAGAGGAGCACCAGCATTTATTTTGAAATTTTTGCTGATGCTTTTTTAGCCTGTGATATGTGAACACAAAATATGTCTAAGTGCAACGTCGGGAGACAAATTCCAAAGTCTAACATGTGTGCTTTTTCTCTCCAAGAACCACTAAAATGTAATTGTTGCTTCACTGCAAATCAATCATAATCAGAGAAGAACAATCAGTCAGTGGTAACCTCTCCCCAGAGCCATTTTACAAGATTATTTCACTTAAGGACTTGGTGTAATTACAGGAGAAAGGCCAGCTCTCTCAAATGTGTGTGCCCAAGCCATGAGCTCATGGTGCTCCAGGAAACAGCCCAACTGAAAAATAAAATCGAGTTTCACACTTAGGTGCTAAACAGGCACCCCATTTGGAAATTACTCCACTCATCAAAAAAGCTACTTTCCCCCGTTTTAAGTCTTCTAATGATATTTAACCCTTTGGTGCTGTCAGTACCAGTCCTGCTCCTGAGCCAAGAAGAAGACACGGACCGAGGAGCTGTGATTTAGGGTGTCAAAGCGCTGGAGGTGACTCTTTGGAAAGGAGTGTAACACGTACCATATTTTTTTTCAAACAGTTCCTCAACTTGCTTTCTCAAGTCGGTAATTCGCGCGTTCCATTTCTCTGCAAATTAAAAAGGAGGATATGTCAGAGTACAAATGAGACAGAGAATCTCTTATAAAAATGTACGTTACCACTAACTGAAATAGGCAGTGTGCTTGTATTGCTCACCTGCACGCAGGTGCCTGTGAGCATGGTACAGGCTACACCTTAAAATATATAGATACATTTCAGCAAGAAAAAGGATAGAATAAACTGTTTAAGATGACCTCCAAAACCTGTGCAGATGATAAATCAAGTTTAAAGCAACATAAACCAGGCTAAAGTGGTTTCTCTCTGACGGGAGCTCCCACTACCATCAGGGGTAAAGTCAGTTTGCAGCCACTGTTGATAGTTATCTAAATCCAGGCACTGAAAAGCTTAATTAGTGAAGCTTTATAAAGCTTACAGTGAGTACATGAAGTTATTGGCGTAAATCTGTACAACTATCTGGGTCAGGAGGCGTCGTACCATCCTCTACCTTAATCCAGTATTTCTCCAAGTCCTGATGCTGCAAAACATCCCCATAAATCCTATTTCTGAAAGGAGATGCAGGCTGCAAGGTGGAAACTACCCAAATCCAATTGCCTGTTCCACGGAGAGATGGATTAAACGGCAGAATTTTAACATCTAATTTTCTGCCTGTGACAGAGAGCACACGTTTTCACAGCTTTTTGTACGATCTCAATGCTTTCAGGAAAATGCCACAACTCTTTTGTAGATGGTACCAGATGCTGGTTGGCCTTTAAGAATGAGTTAATAAGCAAGCGGACTTAGAGCTTATTTCTTACACTAAAGACTTGAATCTAGTAACTGCAGAGGTCAAAAAATGAGGCCATTCAAGCTATTACGCTTCCAGTTGTGAAAAAATCCTTATATCAGACAAGAGAGGGGATTGAGTTTTGAGTCCATAGCAAAAGGGTTTTAAATATTCATTCTCAGACCGATGTACACAACTTTGGTGGCCACTTTAAGCTTATAGTTTTTAAATGTAATTTCACGGCTCTCAAGAGAACAGTGTGCTTCAGATGTAGGCAAGAATAAGCCTTGTGTAGAGGGGAAAGGGTGTTTTGGCAAACTGCCTCTCATCCAGATATAAACTCTTCATTCTAGTGACCTGGCGTATCACCTACATCAATTAACTTGTTTATACTTTGAAATGACACCCTCGTGGGTAAATCTATCTGATTGCTTTTGCCACTCTTTTTACGGCTTCTTAGCTGACAAACATGCCTTGAGCTCAATGTTTTCTACTCCCTGTGTCACTTCAGCCTTGCAGTATTTCCCTCTAACTGCAGATGAAGCTCTTTCTGATTCCAGCTCAACCACCAACTGCATTTTTTTGTTGACCCACAGAACAATGGATTAACAGCAGCTTTCCCAGTCAGAATCAGGAAAACACCAGTCAGAATTTATTGGCTTAAAGGGGAAGCCCCACATTACTCAAGAGAGCTGGTGAACACACACGGACAGCCCTGGGATAAGGGTTTTGAAAGGCACCTCCATGACTCCTCCTCTAAAACTCAGGCTGGTTTTTGGCAGAGGGAGAAAAGTCGGAACATCACACCGTATTATAAAGCAACCCCATAAAAGTTTGTAAATAATACTGTTCCGAATATTGGTTCTTGCTGCAATTTCAGGAGAAGCTGCTCACGACCAGCCTGCTCTTCCCCTGCTCGTCATCATCCTCTCAAGAGCTCTCCTACCCAAGCAACTGAGTTGTCAAGGCTTCGTTTTTCTCAGTGACCAAACCAATCCCTGGCCAAATATTCCCCAGGGATCTTTTCCAGCAACTGCTTCCAGGCCCCTCTGCCTCCAAGGGAAACACTACAGGGATGAAGAATCAAATACACCATAACACAGGTGTTTATTTGGAATGGTGGATACATGGAGAACGGGCAATTGGCAAAAAAAACCTCACAAACTGGTTCACATTTTGATGCACACGCTTTTTTTTAGCTGCTTTTGCATTTTAGGAGTAAATTGCCAAGTTAGGCTACAGAGAGACTTCAAAATTCAGAGAGGTTATCAGGTATCTGGCACAATTTTTAATCAGATTGTCAGTGTTATTAACTCCTTGGATTTGGACCGATTACTGTAAAAACATTCTTCACACTTGGTGCTCATGTAGCAGAGTTGAAAATGCCCCACAAGGCTAAGCTGACGTTCTGGTTTGGTAATCACTCTCTGCAAAGCGGTTTAGTCCTCCCATAGACACCGAACTAAGTGGTGGTTTCCTTCTGTTCCTCTCTATAAACCCTCTGACACCTGGGGAACACCATCCCAATTAAATAACCATCCTGAAAACTTCCCCAGCCTGTCCACAGTCTCTTCAATGTAACCCCATTTCCCTGCCCCAGAAAACATCCGCTACAGGAGGGGCGACCTGAGCAGCGCCCACAAAAGAGGGCTCAGCTTCTAAGCACCTTCCCAGTACTCTGTGGGGAAATAAACTGGAAAACATATAGCAACTCTAAGCACGCTGCAGGCTGGCAAAATCTGTGTTCAACAGCGTGTCAAGGTGGGGGAAAAACTATACACACTTCCCATCGCTGTCACCGTGAGACAACAGCCAAGGAGACATTTCTTCTGACACAACTGCAAGACATCACTTGAAGCTTCTGAGCTTTTGATAAAATCTCTAAGAAAGCAAAAAACACTGTGGGAGAGAAATTTTTACTGACAATGTCAGTTCCTTTCAGCAAAGTTATTTTTAACCGTAAAATAGTTGGTTTGGAAATATTTTTGAAATCTAACCCCCTTTCCCAAAGATTATCAATTTCTACCAAGCATTTTACCAGACACCTTTCATTCCTCCCCCTGGTTACAATTAGTTTTTTTTTCACTTTTTTCTCCTGCTTGCACGAAACTAAGAGCACAGCACATCATTCGCCCTCGTTCTTGGGCCACTTGGGGTACCTGATCTCTGACTCCATCAAGACATACAGGAAGCCTCTCCAGCTCCCAGCTATCACACATCTGGATCTCACCAGGGTTATATAAAATACTGAAAGTCCTTATCAAATGAGACAGATTTCTCTCTAAGCCTCTCTACCTCCTTTCCAGTCTTCCACGTGCCTTTGTCATTCTGCAGCTATTCATGACTGAACTAAACACCTTTTTACTCCTGTCTAAGTATCTAATATTCAACTTCATTAGACATAGGTGCAAAGCCTTCCGAAATGCCCCAACAGCTGCACTGCAACTACCAACAGTTGCTCTTTTTTTTCGTTACAGCAGATGAATTCTGCTTCTCCAGAGTTTCTCACACTCATTTTATGTTTTAACCAGACTTTGCAACACCACAAAGAATCACAGAATCATAGAATTGTCTGGGTTGGAAGGGACCTTTAAGATCATCAAGTCCAACCATCAACCTAACTCTGATAAAAAACCATCACCAAACCATGTCACTAAGCACTATGTCAGCCCATCTTTTGAACACCTCCAGGGATGATGCCTCAACCACTTCCCTGGGCAGCCCATTCCAAGGCTTAATAACCTTTTCTGTGTAAAAATTTTTCCCAACATCCAATCTGAACCTCCCCTGGGGCAACTTGAGGCCATTTCCTCTTGTCCCATCGCCTGTTCCTTGGGAGAAGACTGACTACCCACTGGCTACCCGCTCCTTTCAGGGAGTTGGAGAGAGCAATAAGGTCTCCCCTCAGCCTCCTTTTCTCCAGGCTGAACACCCCCAGCTACCTCAGCCTTGCCTCATCAGACTTGTGCTCCAGACCCCTCACCAGCTCCGTTGACCTTCTCTGGAACCACTCCTGCCCCTCAATGTCTTTTTTGTGGGGAGGGGCCCAAAACTGGACACAGCCCTCGAGGTGGGGCCTCACCAGTGCCCAGTACAGGGGGACGATCACCTCCCGAGTCCTACTCCCCACGCTGTTCCTGACACAGGCCAGGATGCTGGTGGCCTTCTTGGCCACCTGGGCACACTGCTGGCTCCTGTTCAGCGGCCAGTTGACCAACACCCCTGAGAGATAATGCTTTCTGTAGGTGAATGCCAAAAGAGAACACAAGAGGCAACAGCCTCAATACAATTGAGGAAGCCCAGGAATAAAGATCTCTGAATAACCTGGGAGCTACAAAACATTGTAATCTCACTGGACGACAAAGGTTTCCTGAGACCAGCCCCCAGAGAGAACCCACCAAGCCCACTCCGAAGCAGCAGCGAGCAGGTAAACTGCGAGATGTTCCTGAGCTGGTATTCCAACCCAAACATTTAGCATCCTAATATTTTATTACCTTTGCTCTCCACGTCTATAGTCAACCTCACTATTTATTCCATCAAACTCTGCCAGCCAGCCAAGCTCAAATGCTGTTTTCTACTATGGGAATATATTCCAGCATTAACTGCTCAAACTTCTCCTCTACTAATGTTGCCATGATGTTCTCCCGACCCAATCAAAACTAACTAATGCTACATTTGGAACTGCCTGTTAGTATTAATGATCTTTTGAGAATAGAGCCCTCAGCAATGTTTTATTCATTTTCACTGAAACTGGCGTGAAATAGCATGTTTCATGCAAAACAGATGTCAGAGGAGGTTCCATGGGGATTTTTCAATTGACCTCAAATCCCAGGATTCTTAAAAAACTTCCCAAGCACTCTGCCAAAGGACATATTCCTGATTGCGCAGAACCTTATAGGAGATTTCACGGGATATCTGCCCAGAAACCAAACCGAAACAAGAAATAAAGGAGAGATATGGGGCTGCAACAAACCTCATGGGAAGGATCTTTAATCAGAATAACCACGGTGTGTGGATGCACCTCTGCAGTGAGAACTCTGCATGAGGCATCACGAAAGAATACTCCCCAAAAGACCCCAACTCGTGTGTGCACAGGGATTGAGGCGGGTTCCTTGGTGTAAACAGTCACTGATCACCTTCCCAAACGCAGCTCCCTCAGCACATCCTCACTGCTCACAGGATGCATCAAGAAAAACCAGCTGCCCGGGCTCTGGTGTGCCGTGTTTCGGTACGTTAGCCAGTTCAGTCCAATCACCTTGTCCGAGAGATCAGCTTACAGAAATCTAGACTTATTTTTATTTTATTATTTGCTGTATCTACTTAGATGGTCACTCTGAATAATGAGAAACAACAGAGGCAGCCTATGATGATGATGATTACACTGCTGCAATTCATCTACGAAGAGCCCGGGGCTCTTAAATGAATATTTGCACTGGCGTGTCTTGCTCCTGCAGGGTGAAATTCTCTAATACCTTTTTATAAATCAAAGAAGAGAGACAAAATAACTTTTAATTTGTATCTTACCAAAATTGAACTCTCTCACTTTTCTTTTCCCAGTGGTGGCAGCTTCATTAGCTGACTCGCTGGTCTTGGGTCTCTTGTTAGGGGGCAAGTAGTCATCATCATCTTCAAGAAACATAAATATCACTGTTTTAACATTCAGAGAACTCAAACGTGCAACGTTGGAATTGCTTTGCATTTCAAACCTCTAATGCAAGTATTGAACTGTGCTTTATCAGGGTATCAAATTTTGCAACGAATTACTTATCTGAGGAACTTTAGAAAGCTACTTTTCTGCATGGAAAGCATAAGGTAGCAAAAAGCAAAGCTGCTTCTGTACTTCCTAAGGAAAATGATATTATGATCTGAAACACAAGTGGACATCTCATGATCGTAACATGACCAAGCAACAGCAAAAGAAATCAAGAAATAAATTGTGCAGCCATAGACTTTTTATCTAATTGGAAGTATCCTTCCACTAAGTTGTTTTGAAATACAGTACTTAAGTTTTATCTTGAAAAGCTCAAAGGTGCTAAAACCTGTTTCAACTCACTGTAAAACTGATGGACGTAACTGAAATTCACTTAACAGGTCAGCCCCACCTCAAACACACACACACAGAGGGTAAAGATGCAAACCCCAGGCGTTCTTCAGTGAGCTGCCACTTAACCAGTCACTTCCCTACTCAAACCAGTATCTTCCCTACCAGTTAATGAGTTTTTAAGACTGATTATCAATACCTGTCACTTTAGAGAACAGAAATGGTTGAAGCAGACAAAGAAATTAAAGTTAATTTCACACACAGAATAGCACCTGCCCAGGTCACCACGGGTACAGTTTATTTAAGAAGAATAATATTACCTATTGATATGTCTTGCACCTATGCAGTCGAACTATATTCTGTTAGAGAAAACCTTTTCACAGCATTTCCACTTCTGTGGCAAAGATCTTTACATAGACACAGAACTTAATGACTGCTCTCTTATTACCTTTTCCATTGAGGTAATGTAAGAATTCTTTTACTCCTGGATTATAAAAAGGTGAAAGTAATGCCAGAAGTGTTCACTTGGTCCTAAAATGCATTGCCTGATTTCTAAATTACTAACTTGGTGGTCCTAATCTCACTCATTCCAGAAGCAAGCATTGCAAAAGCCAATCTCAGAAGTATTTTAAAGCAGTTACAGGACATGCAATTCACAAATTTAAGAAATACAGTCTATACAATCAATATCACAGCATAAAAACAACATGGATACTGGTTAGTGGCCTTAGTGCTGTTTGGATGAGAAAGGGAGGTGGTAAGTATAAAGGTTTTTATCCCATATTTATTGATATTAGACAAATAAACTGAAGCTTCACTTCCATCACCTGTAAAACACTATCTCTGTTTGGTACAATTCTTCCCAGAAGCTAGTGTTAATTAGAAATTTTATATAACTACAGTGTGCTTATAAAACAACATATTCTTCAGAATGAATGTTGTAAAATCTTTCTAAAATCTAAATTAATGGCTGTTAAATGATGAGGATCCTTTATTGCCAGTGCTTGAAAAAATACATGCAAGATGCAAATCTCTGTCATGCAGCATTTCAAAAATCAGACAAGTAATTCCAATTCTGTGGTTTTGTCAAACTTCTGAACTAAATATGTTTACCAACCAGTACACGACCCAAGCTGCAGTCAATTTATTCACTGCCAATTAATACAGGCAATCCTAAAACAGTTTTTGGGCCTAAAAATGCCCATTGGACTGAAAACAATGAGCTGGAGAACTCACCTTCGATGGTGACCTCGACCTCCGGATCCTCACTGGTTTCAGAAGGGGCGTGCTGGGAGGAATCTGGAGGGGGAAAAAACAGGGCTGCTGAATGACGTGGACGGAAGAGATTTTTAACCCAACACTCCATGATTTTCTTTTTCAACTAACACTTGTCAAAGCAGCCCCCTGTGCCTGTTGTGTTGTCATCAGATCCAGAGACCCTCTCTTCCCCCTGAGGGTACTGAATCGTGTTGAACAGGGCTGGGCAGGCATGGGCCAGGGCCCAGCAGGCTGCAGTGATTTGTCTTTCCCTGGAATTCTTCCAAATATTCTCTTAGTTTTTCAGGATTCTGCACTCATTCAAGGCTGAAGTCCCAAAGCACTGGAGGTACCCACCATCCTCGGCATTTGCCTGCAAACTCTGTCACTCATAACTGTCCAGCCTCGGCACACCTCTGGATGACATTCTTAAATTGCTCACCAACCTTAGACAAAACTAAAAATAATATTCCCAAGAAATATCAATAGAAGTATTTTAACTCCCCAAGGATGTTCAAGGTACCAACAAGTTATTGTAACGAAGGAGGGAACACCACGGAAGAAGGCAGCGAAGGTGCCGTTCTGTGTTTCCTCCATAAAAGACCTCTCAGAGGAAAAAGCATAATTGCTAATTGTCTCCAGGAGATGGTACCTGAGGTACAGTAATAGCTTCAGCACAGAACTCAAATAGCAGATGAAGCTCAAGGTCAGTGTTCTAGTAACAAATCTCCCAGGCAAAACACCACTAAGCATTGCAGAGTAGAGCGGCCTGCAAAAGCCAATCCCACTCTTTAACATGGACAGCAAAAGTGAGAGCTATAGGTCAAATAAACTCGTATCAAATATCATGCCCCGCAACTGTTAACAAATACAAATCCCCTTAATACGCTCTGAGTACTCTGTTGTTATCTCAACCCCTTTGAGCCCCAGGTTTGGTGCCAAAATGGAGTGTTGTGGTTCAACCCCAGCCAACCACCAGGAAGGAGCACGCAGCCGCTCGCTCGCTCCCCCCCTCCACGGGGATGGGGGAGAGAATTGGAAAAATAAGGAAAACTCGTGGGTTAAGATAAAAACAGTTTAATAGGACAACAATGAAAGAGGAACTAGAATAAGAATCCACAAAATGAGTGATGCACAATGCAGTTCCTCACCACCTGGTAATCAACGCCCAACCAGTCTCCGAGCAGCGTTCCCCTCCCACACCAGCCCCCCCAGTTTCTATGCTGGGCAGACACCATATGGTATGGGATGTCCCTTTGGCCAATTGGGGTCAGATGTCCCCATTGTGTCCCCTCCCAGGTCCTTAGAAGCTGAAATGTCCCTGACTGCTTAGCAACAACTAAAATATTGGTGTGTGATCAACATTATTCCCATCCTAAATCCAAAAGACAGCACTCTACCAGCTGCTAGTAAAAAAAATTAACTCAGCCTAAGGCAGGACAAATCTAACTTAATGGCTATTAAATAATGACTATACTTCATTACCAGTGCTTGAAAAAATACACGCAAGATGCAAATCTCTGTCATGCAGCATTTCAAAACCAGCCCAGTAATTCCAATACGTGTCAGCATACTCTGGTTTTGTAAAACTTCTGGACTAGATACATTTATCAAGCAATGCATGACCCAAGTTGCAGTCAACGCTGGCACATCATCCTATTTATTCACTGCCAAGTAATGCAGGCATCCTAAAACAGTTTTTGGGCCTAAAAATGCCCATTGGACTGAAAACAATGAGCTGGAGAACTCACCTTCGATGGTGACCTCGACCTCCGGATCCTCACTGGTTTCAGAAGGGGCGTGCTGGGAGGAATCTGGAGGGGGAAAAAACAGGGCTGCTGAATGATGGGGACAGAGGAGATTTTTAACCCAACGCTCCATGATTTTGTATTTCAACTAACCCTTGTCAAAGCAGCCCCCTGGCTCACTGAAACCTTTTACAATTCACAGCGTGCAACAAAAGCAGAAGCAAAGATATTTTACCCTAAGCCTTTAAGCAATTCTAGATGAGGGTAAGGAGGTGAGGATTATACTTGCTAAATTGCGTGTGCAGCAGTGCAGAGTTGGCGTTAATGACAGCAGGAAATGCTTTATTCTTGGCTTAATAGGATTAATCCAATCATAAATATTTTTCCCTTTGTTATCAAGGATTACTGAAAACATAAACAAAGGCTGCGTGCCCCCGCAGATGATATATTTCTTTACCATTTATACAGACTCGTAGTTGTTGCACTATAATGTTTTCCATAACAAGCTGCAAGGCCAGCAGTGAAAAATGAGAGGGAAATTTGTAATCCCAATGCTTTTGTTGGAGAGGTCTGCACCAGCAAAATAAACAGGATTGTGCCTACCAACACTTGGTGGGAGAAAGAGCAATTCGTGTGCAACTGCAGTAAAGCTTAAAAAAGTGAAGCTAATTCTACTGCAAACTATGTCAAAACTAAGTGGGAGTGTATGAAGGAATATATTTTAATTATTCTGGCAGAGTAATGCTCTGCGCCTGCATTTTGAAGAGTATTTTCCTTCAGATCTCTGTAAGCTGGAGGTATGAGATCACTTTGGGAGCAAGACTGAAGGGATCTCCCCTTTCCATGGCTCTTCACATGATGTGTGTAGCAGAGATTCAGCAGTATCTACTGCAACATCCCAATTGGAGTATATTCAAACTATGCCAAATACATCACCTAGCTCATGGAAAACACAGGATGATGTTTTGATCTAATTCTGAGTGAGCGCTGGATGGATAATTAGCAAACGCAAAGCACAACAAAAGGAAAGAATTAGGAGGAAATGGTCTTTGAGTAGATGTGAACATACAATACGGTCATAGAAATAACTATCACCTCAACTGATTGCTTCACACAAATTACTAGGACTTGAGAGTGATCAAACCGATGATCCTTTTCGAATTTAGAAAAGAAAGAACTGAGATTCCCTTCTCTGTCTCTCTACGTGGACATCCGAAAATTAAGGCAACTGAAATTTTCATTTCTATTGAAGTTTAAGTTTCAATACTTTTACTTCATATCAAGAGAGTAGAGCCCTGAAAAGCAAAACTCAGACATTCCATTTCCAAAACAGCTGTGAGAAAAATCCAGCTAAAAGCTCTACCTGTGTAACTTTTTGCAAGAGCAATTTTTTCATCCATCTCCGATGTTTCGGAAGGACCTGCTTGGGAAGAAAGAAAATGGCTTTTAAATTGTGTCGCACAACAAACACATTTTTCCAGTCCATAAAGGAATTTGCCAAATAACTCTTAATTTCATATATCATATGCTTATCTCATTATTTCCCGTAATGAAATACTTAGGAAAAATTGTGTGAAATATTAAAAAATCTATAAATCCTTACTATTTCAGTTCAACAAACAGGAACGTTGAAGGGGTAATGGTAGGAGTGTGCATTTCCTGGACTACTGAACCGTCACAGACTCATGCAGAACAGCAGGGTTTCCATTTTTTTGGTGTTAATAAACTAATTTTAAAAACATGAAATGTTGATGGATCTGCCCTTTTTCGATGAATTTTTAATCAGCGAAATCTTTTTCCTGTTTGTTAAAATTTGTATTCCGAGGGAGTCCCTTTGGACTTGAAAATTTCTAACCCACATTAAACAGACAAATTCAGAGAGATTAAAATCATTTACGACACTTCAAGGTTGTTTGCTTTTCATCACAACAGCTCTTTTGACAGCTCTATCCGGACTGCTTTAAAAAGGCTGTTGCAGAAAGCAGAGCACAAATGACACTTAAAAGATTAAATTAACACCCCTAAAATCCTACTGCTTAAGGCTCTGGTGCTCCTGCAGTTACGCCCAAAGAGCGAACTGCTTCACACCGAGCAGGAGGTGGTTCTACACCACAAAAATAGCAAAGGTAGAGAAAACCAGCCTATGTGTGGCATGCAGGAGTGTAGGAATACTCGGACTAACTGGGACTGAAGGATTTGAACTAATTGTTCTGTGCAAATCGTGTCATTTCTGCGTTCATTTGCAAAAGTCACCTGGAGAGGATCGTCTAACTCCCCCGAAATTATGGCTGTTTAGAGTCAGGTTTGTAAGTGTATCAGCAACGAGTATCAACAGCTTCACAACAGAAAAGCCACTGTTAACTAAGAAGGCAAGTGAAATATTTTAAACTCTACTTCATACACACAGTAAGCAAGAAATACAGGAAAGGACTCCGGTCACACTCAGACTTCATAGGTATTGCAGTCAATACAACAGCAAATACTAGTCAAGAAAATGAGTATTTAGGGGTTAAAGAAAATCATGATTCTTGGGTGGTTACAACAATGCTAGCTTGAGATATTTCTGCTTAATTTGATTGCTCAGATTTTCAAAGGGATTTTAAATTAGCGGGATTTCAAGTGAGGAACCTCTACGAGGTTCTTCGTTTTCCACGCATTTCAATCACTAAGTGCTGCTTTCATCTGCTCCTCCTGCTTTTTCTTTGCTGGGGAGGGGGAGTGTGTTTGGATTTTTTTTTCCTATTGGTCTATTTAACTCTGAGGAGCTCCACGATTTGGTTGAGAACTCGGCTCCACAGAGTACTGGTGGTACTGGTCCAGAGATGGGAGAGAGCTGGGGGAGATGCTGGCACCACGGGTGCTGCTCCAGGACACATGGGAGAGAAGACTCATCCCAGCACGGGGACCTGCCAACGTCATGGGCGAGGGGGAACAGGGCAGAGCACCCCTGGGCATGCTGGAAAACATCTCCGTGGAATAAATTTGCTTTTATTTAAATCAGCACATTCAGTGTACGCAGCCAGACGGGAGTGTCATTTCCTAAGAACTCTTCAGAACATGCAATTATTATAATTCCTAACACACCGACACACAGAAGCATGCATCCCATTATCAGCAAATATCCTGTTATAAGCTCATATTTTTCATGTTTATTCCTTAATTGGGAGATCCTAACAGGACTGGTTTAGCTACATATTCTGCAATAGCCTCTATATTGCATTATCTTCATGCCAAATATATGCTGTGACGCCAATGAAAAAGGAAAAATGGGAGATCTTTGACACATTCAAACTTGAAGAAAGATTTCTTTAGCTAAAAAGATACACTTACTAGGCTTACAGCCCCTGGGATAAGCACAGAAAATTCAATCTCCTCAGATTTAATGTCAATAAAAAATACAGTACATGGAGTAAACCCATAAGACTTTTTAAAGTGACCCACGCAGATTATTTTAAGAAACTTGAGCTTTGTTGTTTTGGTTTTTTTTTAATATTATGAAGTCTTGACAGAGGTTGGAAGGGACCTTTGGAGACCATCCAGTCCAACCCCCTGCCAGAGCAGGGTCACCCAGAGCAGGTTGGACAGGAACCCACATCCAGGTGGATCTGGAAGACCTCCAGGGAAGGAGACTCCACACCCTCTCTGGGCAGCCTCCTCCAGGGCTCTGCCACCCTCACAGGAAAGAAATTTTTCCTCGTGTTCAGGTGGAATTTCCCGTGTTCCAGTTTGTGCCCATTGCCCCTTGTCCTGTCATCTATTTCCACAGCACAGTAATATGCTGAATCTAAGCACACACCACGTTTCAAGGACTTAAGCCACTTTCAACTACTAAACTAAGATACAGCATTTTAACTAATGTTTCTTTTTGTAAGAGCCATAACAACTGCTACTTATAGATAAGGTATATGCAGGAATACTAACTGCGATAGCTGGCGTGCTCAGTATGCATTATTTAATCTTGCAGATCTGTGTTCAGTCCTTTTCTTCATTTAGTCAACAAAATCTAGACCTTTCTTCCAGAACAGGTTGTCTTTGGTGTCACCCAAAGCATTTAACACCACAGTGACCTTCACATTTGCCCAGGATCTAAAAAAAAACCATCCACTGCCATACTGCTAGTGCCCAGTGATGGAAAATCACCCTTAATACTCTGTCAAAATACTCTCATGAAGTTTTTGATGGCCAAAGTCCCTATTTCCCAGTCTTCTTAGTGTGTACTGCTAAAACATTTCCCAGTTTAGCAATTCAGTATTAACATCCAAATGCTGCAACCTACCACAAGATAATAAGCGATAAAAAAAGACGTCCACCTACAGGTATAATTTCCCCTCCATTTGATTAACAGGAGAATTTCGTGTGCCACCAAGGCACACAGCGCTTTGGTCAGCGTAACAGACTTGTGAGAGGAAGCAAACATTCAGAGAAAAACAATAACTGTGAAATTTCATGAGTAAATCATTTTCTCCAGGAAGCCCCAAGCAGATTGCTGTTCTCTAACAGCTTCGTTGTTTCTTCTCATAAATCAATAAGCCTCTTTTTTGCTGTAGGGTATTTTTAGAACTAGGATCCCAGCCATTTTCCTACACCATGTTTCTACCAAGGCAATGCTTGGGCAGATTTGTGCTGTCCCCCAGGAACACACTTAATGATAACTCTGCTTTTCCAAGTTCTGCTTATCTGCGCAGCATCACCACGCACACACAAACCCCTATTTGCCTCCTGAACTTCACAGAATGTTAGAGTTGGAAGGGACCTTAAAGATCATTGAGTTCCACCCCCCTGCCCTGGGCAGGGACACCTCCCACCAGACCAGGTTGCTCCAAGCCCCATCCAGCCAGACCTTGAACCTCTCCAGGGATGGGGCAGCCACAGCTTCTCTGGGCAACCTGGGCCAGGCTCTCTCCACCCCCACAGCAAAGAATTTCTTCCTGAGATCTCATCTCAATCTCCCTTCTTAAAGTTTAAAACCATTCCATCTCATCATATCACTCCACTCCTTGATCACAAGTCCCTCCCCAGCTTTCCTGGAGCCCCAGGAGGGGCGATGCTGAAGCTGTTCTTCAGCTCTTTTGGTATTCTTCAGAATAGCTTAAAGGGTAGCCAGCATGGAGATGTTGTATCCTAACAGAGATAAGTAATTGCATCCTTAATGACCAAGAATAAGTCAAAAGAGAGGCAGAGAGAGAGAGCGCAACATTTAAGCAATCAACCCTTGCATGAGATAAACAGATATGAAAGTTAGTATCATTACCTGGAATATTATACTGATAGTAGTCAGGATCATCTGATTCCTCCTTCACTGTGCCTGCTGTCATTTCCAAAGAAATTCCTGTAGAAGCAACAAAGGAATCAATCACGGAAACTAATAATAATCACATGTAAAAAACCAACCAAACAAACAAATAAAACACCCACAAGATCCTATCTAGTCTGTATTTTTTTAAAAAGGGGAAAAAAAAAAAAAGGACGCTGATGCACTAAAGAATTGTTGAGCTAAAACAAGGGTAACAAAACCTGCTGGTTTCTCATGTTTGATCACTGTCAGAAGGGATTCAGGATTAAATGGTTCCCCACAAACCAGGCATCCTTGGAATACGCTATCTCGGATCTGAAGAATTAAAAAGAACGGTCTCCTTCCTTTTTGCCCACTTCCACAGCCCACCCCAAAATAATGACAATATATTTTATCACTTGCTGTGCTGAAAGCACTTCTAGACCTGCTGCTGGTGGAGCAGCACCAAAGGTCCTCAGCTGCTCTTGGCTCCAGGTGAACTACCCCCTCCATAAGCCTTCACAGCATTCCCTAACGTGTTTTCAAAACATTCTGATAAAGGGAGAATTCCTTAAAATGCCTAGAAAGCAGCACTGGAAAGATTTGTGGACTGACTTGACAAAAAACTCAAGTTAAAGCTAAACATTAACCGGGAAGGGTTCCCAAACCACAAGTTTGTAGTTGGGAAGCACAAGTAACTGGCCTAAAAGTAAAAATTTAATTCTTCTACAAAAGGCTGAGCAGTGTAGCCCAACCCAACCAAAGGGAAAGTCACCAGCTTATCTCCAAGCCCACCTGCTGCCTCGCTGCCTTTAATGGGATTATTCCTGCTTTTCCTCAAAGCAAACGCGTAAGCGCTGCTCAGCTGCACATCCCAGTGCCTTGCAGGATCCTCTCCTTCCTGCAGTGGAGGTGCAGGACACTCACTCATTTTTTCAACAATTAATAATAAATTTTCTTATTTATTTCCCCTTTAGCTCAAAAATGGACATTCTGTCATTTTCAAGTAATAGAATTTAGAAATATACAAATAAACCAAGCTTTTCTCTCCCCATTAGGGATAAAGTGATCTTGAATTAGAACAAAATAAAAATGAGAGTATTTTCTTCTTCTCTACTTAAAACTATTTACAAAGACAAATTATTTTAGTTTGGAAAATTATACAAATCTCCTCCTAGAAATGGAAACATTTGGCTGAAGTTAAATACTTAATAAAAACACTGACTGAAAAGTGACCAGCTTTAAGGAAAGAAAAGTTTTTCTCTCCCACAAAGGATATCTTTTTGCTACTTTTTTCTTGGAGCTTCCTATCTTCGTTTAAATTCAGCCTCTGAAAAGAAAATGATTGGGGTGGGGTTTTTTGCAAATAAGGGCAAAATTTTGTACATACCAGAATCTTCACTTGGTTCCATTTTCACTTGAATAGGACAACTACAAAAATAAAGAAATCCAGCACATATTACATGGTATGATAAAAACCAAATATCTACTGTCTAGTAAAATCAACACCCCAGGAACACAAAAGTAAAAGCCCCTGCATCTTATTTTATCTGATTTATCTCAAGGGAATTGCCAGGAATCTCCTATCCCTACATTTTCGGGACGCAGACAACATTCAAAGCATGTTTGCCATTTAATGAGAAGCTGACTCAGAAGCACACAAACACTTGCCATTTTGCTCCCTATTTTCACATTAACCAATTTTTTTATTTACTCCAGATATAATCTCTCCATTTACTAACACAAAAAAAGATTTATTTTAATTTTTTAATTGAGGAGGGGGAAGGAAGCAACGTTACATCTGTTCCCCATCGCTGCTGTATCATAAAACACGACAAACTTATCCCTGACTGACAGACTGTGCACTAAGAACACTCACTGGGCTAATTAAACCGAGGGGAAACTTTGCCATCTGTTTAATTCGGAACAGTTTCCCCACAAATAACGGTCAAAGGAAAGAAAAAAATGCAGCTTCATGCTTTTTATAGTCCCAGGCAAGCAAAAGTTAGCCAAAGGTCAGCTGGGCAGAAAAAGCACATTAAGAGAAAGATAAACTATATGAAAATACACAGTTGATACAAAAAAAAAAAAGCTATTTTAAATTCACCTTCCACCTGGAGGTATAATTGAATGTGAAGGATCTGTCATATGGGCTCCTGAAAGTTAAAAGACAATCTTTGAGTTTCCTCTACTCCATTTGCCTTAAACACAAATTGAAAACGTAACATTGATTTCATGAACCAAAAACCTGTTCACATTTTACAAGCATATGTGCCTATTTTCTGTATTCACAGATATGAGGGACAAATCTCGTTAAACCGCTTTATTAATCTATAAAGCAACACCGATATAAAATTACTTCAAATGTGCCTATCAGCTTCCTTCTCACTGCTCCCTTTCATGATGCCAAGTGGAAACCTTGGGAAACAAAGGTAAACAAATCTTCCACCTAAACTCTGCTAAAAGAGAACGGATAATTTTATAGAGACACAGCTCAGTCCTAAATTACAGCTAGACAGGAATAATTATGTTTTCAGAATGTCATTTACCACACTGAAACCCTGCCTTGCTTTTTCAATCCAAATATATTGTTACCAGAATTTATTCAATTTTCCACTCTCTTGTCTTCTTACTGGGCACAGGCAGCATATTTCTGATTTTACTAATCCAGCATCAACTTCTGGCTGTTTCACCTAAGAAAGTGAAACTTTTCTTCTTTGACTACGTTCCTATAGAGATTGCTTCGCCCTCTTCATAAAACAAACACTCACATACATGAATTTTGCACGTAAAGCATCATGATCCCATGAAAGGATCAGGAGGAGAGGTTTCTTCTAGCTAGAAGTGAGTATTTGCGGAGTTTAAAAAACTCACTCTAGCTCAGGTTTTATAATATATAGAGGCTTTCACAGGAACCGCAACACCCAACCACTTCAGCAGATTAAATCCATTTTTAAAATGAGATATAAATGGCAAACTCAGCTATGGATTGGAACACAGAGCACTGCAAAGTCTTGGCATCTTCTAAAAATGCAACGCACAGTCCTTCATCGGTTCACTTCTCCTGTCCCTAGGATACCATCCAATTCACATTAAATTGAAATTCAGTCAAAGGATGAAAAACACAATAGACCAAGTTTTATCTCTAATTAGTTGCTCCTGGCAGAACGCACGAAGGAAAAGGTTATAGTTCCAGAAATAAGGCAACTCACAGTCTAGGAATTTCTGCAAAGTTTGCCATTTTATCCACATGACCCAATCTCGTATCTGCATTGCTATCTAATCTAAAATTCTAACCTGTTTCTGTTTAGTCTGAGTAAGCAGTAACTTACCTAGGTGTTTCTTTGGCTCGAGGAAAGGCCTGTGTGGAAATATGGAAAGAAAAACCCACAGCTTTAGCAGAGACATCACTGCTTACTTGGTCATGTAACATTAAAGAGAGCGCACTCCTGTTTAAGAGAAACAGGCTGCAATGCATGTAGAAATTAAAATTAATTGGACTTAAGTGCAAAACCAACACAGACAGACCAGCACAGGAGAGAGCAAATAACCTTTTGATGATAAATGAGATCCTTGACTTGTTTTCCAAAATCCATTTCAGGGTGGAAACATCGTAATTTGCCGGGTGTTTAAAGGCAAGCCCCTCGGGCAGACCCTGCACCACCACCGCACACTGGTCCCTCTGAATCTTCTCATAGGGCACAGGTACCACCGTTGACTTTCCTAAAGCTTTTCCTAGGGGAAAAAAATGAGGAGATAGTTATGAGGTGAAGAGTGTGCCAGTTTGCAAAAGGCTGAGTTCCTCCTAAAACCCGTGGAGAGGACTGGGGTGAAAGCAAGGAGCAGGAAACCAAGTCCTGCTCACAGGGGTCCAGAACCCACGAGCAGCAGAGGCTTGTTTGAAAGAAAACTGATCAGGGTGTACAATCATCTCAAATCACATCCCACAAAACACATCTGATATACCTGTATGTTTTAAAATCAGCTACTAAAAAAGTTAAACTTACCACCTTAACAGCGGTACAGCTGGGAGGCTAACACCACACACTACTTTCCTCCCAACCGGAATAAAAATTTAAAAATCTGGAACAGCTATTTTGATGACATCAAAGCACCCACCGTAGCAAAAGCAGAAGAAGTCCTCCACAGACTTCCTGAGAGCTTCCAGCTCCACAGCATCCACTGTCAGTCTGTTTACAGGGGGCACAGTCTTTGTTTTCTGCAGCTCTGCAGCCCTCTCCTCTTCTGTAACACCTGACAGTTATTTATGAAAATAAGATAAAAATAAAATAGTAAGTTATTGAAGCCCTCAGGACCTAGTCCCTCCAGTTTAGACTATAGATTCTTGTCAGAATGTCATAAGAACTTATTTGCCTTAGAAGGAAATGCATTTTTCTACGTACATGGGCAATGAGTAAATTTAAATTTACGCCAAAATTATTATATCCTCCTGACAACCTTTGTAAATGTCACCCTCTACAGTGTAAGAATAAGGAATTAAGAGACACATCCAAACAGGTTTTTTTTTTGGCATGAAGAGGTAGAAAACAGTATTCATCTCAGGAAAGGATAATACAGTAGAAATAAAATGCAAAACTGCCAAGAAAAGAAGGAGCAAGAGAGTCACCAGGGAAGACAGAAAACGCCTGCGTGGAGGGTGCCGTAGCTCCCACGTGCTGCGTGTGATGCCTTACACAGCATTTATCTTATATCCTCTTTTGTTTATGCTTTTGTGCTTAGCTGAGCTTTTTATAGAAGGGATCTGACTTTTGGCACGACAGCTCCTCTCTCTTTCAAAACACGTTTTAAGGGCACAACCCCCATTGCTGAATAGCAGGAGCTGCAACCCAGCCATCCTCGTGCAGAGCAGAGAAGATCCCAGCCCCAGGCTGCCTTCGAGTCCCCCAGCAAAAGTCATTGCAAAAGGAGGGAGGGAACAACGACGCCTTCAATATCAACAAGCAAATGGAAGGGATGGTTCCAACGGCAGCTTTCCCTCCTTATCGTTCAGTTCTTGCAAAGATTTACTGAGAATCAGCCAGCAAACATAGGGGAAACCACCAGAGATATTCCGGGTATGAAAGAAAAAAGCAAGGGAGACCTGTGTCCCTGTGGGCAAGGGAAAGATCAGTGCTGAAGCTGTCTCATATCCCCACCCCCAGCAAGCACAGCAGTAAGTCTGAAATGCTGTGATTTGCACCACAAGTCCTGCTGGCATCACAATTCTGGGCTAATACGAGAAAACAAACATCAGTTTGAACAACCGATTCCAAATGGGTTGTGAAATGAGCTGAAGAAGCAATACTTTTGCTAAAAATGCATTTATCATCTTAAAACTTTGTATCTTCATTTCAAAGAGAACCTCTTCCTTCCTCTACACGTCTGCTCTGTGCCCTGGAAACCCATTTCCATGTAACATCCAGCTCTTCAGGCCCAAAACTTTGGCTTTCTCTGCAATATGACAGGGCCTCCCGTAACAAAAATAATGCAAAAATGGAATATTATTATTTACCCATAACACAGGAGCTTAGTTTATGATGGCTGACAAGGTTTCCCTGCAGACTTGGGGAGAAGAGGTATGACTTTCCATTTATAGCTACACGCAATGTTGCTTTTTGGGTGTTTTTTTCCCCACACAAGAGACTGATTCACTGCAAACGCCTTCCCTGCCAGTAGCTTCTCAAAAGCGTACCCACACTTTCTAAAAATACTAAGCAAAACAAAAATAGGATGACAACAGCGCTCATTTCCCATTAAAATGAAAAGCAGACAAAGAGACTTAGAAATTTTCCTCCTTAACTAGGAGGAACCCTCATCGCTGTGTTTTGTTACACGATTTTTATCCATTTTCTTGAGCTCACGTTATGCGTCTGCCTCAATCTCTCTCCCACGTTTGTTGGCCAATTTCAATCAAGTCATAGAATCATAGAATGGTTAGAGTTGGAAGGGACCTCAAAGATCATCGAGTTCCAACCCCCCTGCCCTGGGCAGGGACACCTCCCACCAGACCAGGTTGCTCAAAGCCCCATCCAGCCTGGCCTTGAACCCCTCCAGGGATGGGGCAGCCACAGCTTCCCTGGGCAACCTGGTCCAGGCTCTCACCACCCTCATAGTAAAAAATTTCTTCCTGAGATCTAATCTGAATCTTTTTTCTTCCAATTTAAAACCGTTTCCCCTTGTCCTATCACTACACTTCCTGGCAAAGAGTCCTTCTCCAGCTCTTCTATAGGCACCCTTCAGGTATTGAAAGGCCGCTATAAGGTCTCCCCGGAGCCTTCTCTTCTCCAGGCTGAACAACCCCAGCTCCCTCAGCCTGTCCTCACAGCAGAGGTGCTCCATCCCTCTGATCATCTTGTGGCCCTCCGCTGGACCTGTTTCAGCCGGTCCATGTCCTTTCTGTGTTGAGGACTCCAAAGCTGGACAAAGTCAAAACAAGATCAAGTCTCGAAGACAGTAAGATTTATAAGGGTTTGGCACGACTGATCAAACCCAGCTGCCATTCCTCTCCTCTGGGCAGCAGTTGGAGGTGGCACAACTCACAGGCTCTGTCAAAGCTCTCACCACAATTACAATTACACCAAGCGGGATTTAGGCTACGCCTGGGAGAAGGGATGCCTGGGACACACAACAAGACTTGGAGGGGAAGAGGGATGGGAGGTTGCATTTACAGAAGGGTAAGAGGGTGAAAAACGGTTCAAGAAGGGTGAGGGATGGTGATCACAGAATCATAGAATCATTGAGGTTGGAAGAGACGCTTGGGATCATCGAGTCCAACCATCTCCCCTACTCTACAAAGCCCTCCCCTACACCATATCCCTGAGTACCCCATCTAAACGTCCCTTAAATACATCCAGGGATGGTGACTCAACCCCCTCCCTGGGCAGCCTGTTCCAATGCCCGACCACTCTCTCTGTGAAAAATTCCTTCCTAATGTTCAGTCTAAACCTACCCAGTTGGAGGTTGGAGCTTGAAGCCGTTCCTTCTTGTTCTGTCGTTAATTACCTGTGATACGTCAAAAGAATTCCATTCTCCCCAGCTGGGACCATACTGCAGGATCACCCCAGTTATGCTGCAAAACCTATTCCAGATTCAGCAGAATGACCCAACTGCTAAAGATCCTCATTTTGAGCTGAAAGTCCATACACAGGTGAGTGTCTCTTATCCTCTTGTGCTATCCAGGTGTTCTCATTACTTAGAACGACCTTCCCTCTTACCTGCCCCCATGAGACTGGGTTTGACAGCCCAACCTACCACTTGGATGGAAAAGGAATCTCCCAGCTGTCAGCATCCTTATAAAATGAATATACTATGAAATGAATAGACTGCTTTAAAATAAAAAAGAAAAAAAAAAAGGAAAAAACCCACCACTTACAGAAATTTTTGTGACGGAACAAAAAATGGAATAGTTGAAACCATTCAATTTTAATTTGGCAATTTTTTCTTGTTGCATGGCAGCAATTAGACAGCTACACCCTGACCAGACTCTCCACCTTCCTGCCTTACACAGACGCTTTCGAAGCGATGAAGAGCTGCGGCTCAGCACTGTTATACAACGCTTTTTCCGAAGGTGCACTGAAGCATGGAATGAATGCAGCAGGAGAAAATAGGCCATAAAATGGGTCTGTCTTCCAAAGCCTCGACTCGGAGGTGAGGAAAAAGCTGCCTTCCTCCTGTGGAGCAGAGCACACCCCGGAAAAAGCTGCCTTCCTCCTGTGGAGCAGACGGGAGGAGCTGGGACGTGCCGAGACAAGTGACAAAACCAGTGGTGGCCACATCTCACCAAAGAAGAAGCAAAAAAACAAGCTTTAGCAGAGAAACAATTTGCTTAACTCAAATTTCCTCCAAAATGTGGCCTGGAGATGCGATGCTACACAAACAACTACAGAGAAAAGCCGGCAGGATTCAGGATCTGAAGCTGATGGAGCCGTCAGTCCCATGGTACATAAGGCATCTTACAACATCAGAAGGTTTTTAATCAGGTGGTTTTTAATCCCCCAGGTAAAAGCAGCCAAGAAGTGATTCTAAGAGGATGAATGTCACCCCTGTGCAGACACCAAGAGGCAATTTAAGGGCAACATTCATTTTGTGACATACATTTTATCATTCGTGCTTAAGGAAAAGTGCTCTCTGAAAATAACTATGAGCAACGAAAGAGGGAAAGTGAATGTGTGTGTGGCTAAAAGTGTTTTGCTTTGTTTTCTAATGCATTCACCCAGTTCATCTGTGGGCTTTTTAAGGCCATCCACTTTTACAGTTCAGGAAACCGAAACCTCAAATTAAAGAAAAATCACTCTATGATTATCAAAGGATCACTTAAACCACAAGAAAAGCAAATCACCTGAGGCAGGACTTAGGAGCCAAGGAATTTCAAAAAGATGGGCTATCTACAGCAATTTTCTGTTTGTTTGTGACTCTGAGGGAATGAGATGGGTGGTCTGAACTTTCTGAGCAAGTTTTTTAAACCAGCTGTTACCTTCATAGCCCTGAACTGGCCAGGCAGAGGCTTCTGACAATAAAGCCAAGCAAACCAGCTCTAATAAGGCTGCAAAAGAGGCCAGTTACCCAAATCTGAAATAAACCCAGAAAAAGAGCATGGAACTGTGAGCTAGGGAGGGCATGGCTAAAGCCAAAGGTGCTGGGAAGAAAAGGCATCCGGAGTGGACACAATCTGGAAGAGTCTTCTCCTGCCGCATCCAGGGAGCCAGAGGGGCAGACGATGGGAGCAAAGGAAGCAGCCCCGAGGAAGGGAGCCAGAAAGGGATCTCCTAAAACTCTTTGAAAGTAACTCGTGTCTAAGCATGTAACAGAAGTTTTGAAAATGAAAATTTTTGAAAATTCTTTTCGAGAACTTGGGAAAAGGGGTGAACTGACCTGTAAAACAAGGGAATCTGCCAGCAATGTAGAACTTAAGAAAAACAGATTAATTCACCCCTAATATAATGAGAAAGGGCTGCAAAGGAGACCATCAGTGACGCAGGGCTGGCCATCACCTGCTTCAGGTAAAACCCTTGTACCAGCCTGGGAAGTTGGGGGAAAAAGAAAGGGAAGAGCAGTAGAAGAGAAAAGGAAGAGCACAGCAGGCCACAAGGTAAAGCTAAAAGATAAGGAGAATTAGTCTTTCACAAAGAACTAGGCTATTAATGCGGAGTTAGCTAATGAACCCACATATTAATATGTGAGAAACATGCAGCACGGGACAGCTCAAAACCGACAATATTTGCATTTCAAAAGGTTAGGCAGAAGGGGACTGTAGG